CTGTAAAAATATATTAATTGAATTAAAATAACTTTAGATGTTTAAAAAAAAATGATTTATTGTTTTTTTTTTATGATATTTTAGTGTTAAATCTGGTTTACTTCCTAATTATAATGATACAAAGTTACGATAAATTGTTATCTTAATAATAGAAAGACTAAAGAGAAATAATTAGTGGTAATTGTGATGTAATTGAGATATTAGATTCTAGAAAAGTTAAGATAAAATTTTTGTACTGGTTAATTAAATTATAACGATAAAAGTCGAGTTTTTTTTAATTAGAATTTTAATTTTTGGAATTTTTTTTATGGAAGTAAATTAAAAGTAAAAATTTTTAATCATAAAACATTTAATTTAAGAGTATTACAAATATTAAAAAAATTAAAATATAATTTTTGTACTACTTAATTGAATTATAAAGATACAAGTCGAGTTTCTTTAGTTAGAATCTTAATTTTTAGAATTGTTTTTATGAAAATAAATTAAAATCAAACATTGGAATTAAAAATTAACGATTTTAAATCATAAAAAATTTAATTTAAGAATACTACTTAATTTAATTATTAAAATAAAACTGAAGAATTTTTAATTAGAGTACTAATTTTCGGAATTATCTACCAAAAAAAACATTAAAAATTGACCAAAAGTCCGATTTCTGTCCAAATAAACTTAAATTAGATGTCAAAAAAAAATAATTTTAACTTATATTGGCTCAAAAATTAATAAAAATGAAAGATAGTAATTTATAAAAATTTCAACATAAGTGCATCGAGTTAAATATAATAATAATAAGTTAGTTACTCAATCAAACCCGAGTCTAATCAATACCTATTACCTCTAATTATCGTGAGTTACACAACCCAATAAACAATAACAGCAATAAAACTACATTTATAACAATAAGAGCCGGCCTCGCAGAGTTAACAAGTTGCTTTCTAGAAAAGGTATCATTAGTTTATGAAAAAATATATAATAAATAAATTCCTACTATCATTTTGAGTGGAATTGTATAGATAAAACATTTGCTTCATTATGTCACGTATATAAGTCCGGAACATCGTCACGCAACGATTGTTTTCACAGTAGGGGTGGGACTCGCAAGACGGATACAACATACGGTGGTGTGTTGTCTGCAGTACCCCGTATGTTCTCTGTTATATATATGTTAACTATCACTGGGGGATACACGCATGACAGGTGTGGGAAATGACGTCACGTGCCTAAAACACAATTATTCCAAGTTCAGATTATCTTTGTAATTTGTGTGTTTAGGTAAAACAGGCATTGATTTAGAGCATTGACTCGCCCGCATTGTAGACTTGAGATTTGATTTTAATAAAAAAAATAATAATAATAATGCTCGGGTAAAGGTAAAACGATAAACGATCCATACTTCTATTTGAAAACTTGAATAAACTTCTTTGAGTGAGAGTTGCTTCCGGCTTGTCGGTTAACTACGGAAAATTCTACGGAAGATTATTGCCTAAGTTACCAAAGAGTTTGTGGCCCCCTTGTCTGCCATGATAACTTTTCGATGCACGCGATGGTCATGTGGCAATCGATTGTAGTCCGTCTGCACTTTTTTGTCCGGCTCTGACATTGAATACGAATGAAATAACCAACTGGAGTTTTAAATTTTTTTCAACGGTCAATTTATCAAAAGTTTCAATTTTTTTTTAGCTTTGTACAAAAATTAAATTGATAAAAAATTTTTTAAGGGTCCATCAAGATTTTTAAAAGTTTTAAAATAGAGAAATTAGAATTCTTTCGAGCAACACTTTTGAATATTAATTTTTACAAGGGTGGAATTTTTTTCTATAAAATTAAAAATAAAAATTAATTTAAAAAAATAAATAAAATTTATTACTATTGTATTTTTATAAGGAAATATTTATCAGAAATTTTTAAAACAAATTCTAGATATCAAAATTTTGACTTAAAATTTTTAGAATAAAAATCAACATTTAGAAAATGAATAAAATTTATTATTATTTTATTTTTATAAAGAAATATTTATTACACAATTTAAAACAAATTTTAGATATCAAAATTTTTACTTAAAATTTTTAGAATAAAAATTATTTCTAAAGATAGTAATAAAATTGCCATTAAAAATATTAAAAACAATTTTTTTGGGCTACACAAAAATTTAAAATTTACTTTAAAGAATTTTTTAAGTTAAATTATTGATAAAATTTAAAAAATGAAAAAGGTGGAATTAAATTACTGGAGATAAATAGGGTCCGAAAAAAACCTTTATTCCGTTTCCATACCAAATTTAAAAGACATTAACCACTAGTTGAAAAGGAAATCCGGAGACCCCATGCACCGGCCCCACGGGTATACTTATTATGCATACTTCACACAACAACAAAACACAAAAAAAAATAAACCGATTTAATTAGTAGTACAGTTTCTTAATAGTTTTAGTTAGCATTTAAACAATCGCCAGAAGCAGTTAAGTAATTACTAATTGCTTAAAATCAGTTAGCTTCCGGACATAATTTAGCGTTTTGCTACGGCTGGATACTTTCTTGCCGTAAACAGAAGAATAGTCAATGAGAGCGATGCAATTATTATTATTATTATTATCAAACGCGGTCGTAAGTTAAACAATCCATAAAGTTAAAAGCAATCATTGAGATTCTGTTATTTAGCAAATACAAAGAGATAAAATATTATCACCGCTTTTACTTTACATCGGGGAAATCGAGATCGTCACCCAATGCAGGGACATCCAATCGCAAGATCAAACTTTCTTCGACGAACAAATAGACATAGCAGGAATGCAGTTTGCTATTTAAGTAAAAGGCCATAAAAAATATGCATAACAAACTATAATGCCTAATTAACTTAATAAATTAATACATAAAAAATTTGTTGGCCCATTTAAAAATTAATTCGTAGTTTTCAATTATGCAATTTTTATTGTTCGAGTTCTAATAATGCACTTATGACAGAGCAAACTGATTCTAGAAATGCGTTGAGTAAAAAAAACTCGTTAACATATTTAGTTATATGTCCAGGTGTGTATTTATATTATAGGTGGCAAGCATAATGTATATTTAACAAGTGTCTTGTTTCAAGTTTAACGACATGTCAGTGTCGAAGCTTTCACTCCAACATTAGTAGGTACATCGTCACATCACACTTGAGATTCCTAGATGTTAGTACTGGCATTAACGATAATTACTCCGTCGGATATTATTATAAAGATTAAAAGATGGGAAGAAAGCGTTTCAAGTTTCAGGAACATTTTTGACAAATCATACTTCGAAAAAAAATTAATTTGTCTTCATTGTTTTATATTTTTTACGACAAAGTATATAGTCTTGAGGAATTGTTATTTGGGCTCGAGGATTGAGTGGTCTGGTGCGTTCTGTTAAAGAGGATTAGAGATGAATCCAAGAGATACGAGAACTAGAGAGGTGATATTTGGAACGGCGGTGGTCAAAAATTAGATATCGAATCGAAAGAAAATAACGCGATTGATACATTCACGACGTGCGCAAGCTGCGAGCGCTCACGTGCGCCGAGTATCAGGCTCGCATATAGTGTCAGAGAATCACAAGAGTAAGTGTAAGTACTTAACTTGTTTAAAAAGAGAGAAAGATTCGTGGGGTTAAAGAGAGATAGTTATTCGTAATAATTTTCAGTGTACGCGCGCGCGTTCTCTTAAAACTACTTGCTGATTATTGTGAGCCGACTCTTTTTGCGCCGGCGTGGAATTATAAGTGTAATGTTAATAAATATAAACAGAGTTAAATAGACTGCACGCAAACTCGATCATCTCGGTACTGTTTTATTTTATTATGTCGTGATTGAGCATTCACCGGAGCAGTCTCTGAATATATAACGCAGAACTGTAAACAGAGTTAATAACTTTAAATGCTAAATGATACTGAATTTCCGAGCCAATTAATTGTAATTATTATTGTTGTTAATTATATTACTTTTACGCTAATATGGAATAATAAAGTTTATGGTTTAAGAGGCCAGTTTAAATAACGGGCTCGGTTTTAATCGGTAGGATAGAAGAAATACATGCTAACTTTGTTGGGCGCCAGGAAATTTGCATTTTTATAATATTAGGGAAATTATTATTAATTATTATCCGTGAAAAAAAAATTTTTAAGGCTATTTTTTTTTTTTTAATTTACCCATATATTTTAAAAAAACTCTCTTCATAATTGATTAAATTAAAAATTAATGTCAAATAAGTTCTTAGAAGGATCAAAATAATTATTTTTAGCTTAGAACTTTATATTTTGAATTTAACTCTGTTCTATTGAGATAATTTAGCGACCATACGCCACCTATCGGAGATTTTCAACACTGTTTATATAAAAAAAATTATATATTACTATATGAAGTCTAAAATGGGTAAATAAAGTCATATGAAGTTGAATATATATTAATATTTTTATATATAGCCAATTTATATATTAAGATGATAAAAAAACAAGTCAAAGTTTTTAATATGGCAATTAAAAAAATTTTTTTTTGGATGATTGTTAATTATTAACTTTTAATTAGTAATTTTTATACAATGAACAATTGATTGTAATTATCAATTATGCAAAAAAGTATTTCAAGAAATAATAAATTTAATATATGAATAAAATCCTCACAAAAAGATATTACCAAGTAACCCAATTCCACGACAATCGTTACACTATATTTATTCTTTTCAGGTGCAATGAAACGATGCAGAACATGAGAATTCCTTAGACTTTCCTGACTAATTGACCGCGACTGTAAGGCTAATTAATCATCTTCTCAATGGCTCTACCATCCAGTCTGGTTATTACACTCCAAGCGAAAGTTTTACATTTTATAATTTAATAATTCTGTAACATAAAAACCAGTATAATAATATTAATGTCTAAGCCGAGGCGTGGTTACCATCAACCACCGAGCACTTGCATAAAAATCATACAGATGGTGAAAATACGAATTATGTTAACGATAAAGTACAACCATAAGTTTATAGTTGTGAAATGATGTTGACGGAAACAATGTCTCTCTGTGGGATCTTAATGTCCTTAAGAAAGGTACGACTTAAACTGTTTTGCGTGCTGATCTGCATGGTATCTCCCTGTCTCGCTAGGAATCACCCACCGCAGTTCCTCATAAACGGACAGACTGAGATCGTGGTGAGACTGAAAGAAGGACCCGAAACCCCCGTCGGTAATTACCGTTTTTGCTTTCAATGATTTTATATCATTAAGGATTAAAAAATAATTGCCACTGTTTCATTTTCCAGGAAGTTTAATTTACAGACTTAGAGGTATTGATCCCGACGGCGACAGTCTCAGGTTTGGAGTTAAAGATCAGCCAGGAGCTGACGTAATTCGAGTGGAGACTGTCGGGACTCAGGAGGCCAACATTTATCTGAACAAATTGCTGGACAGAGAGGTAAGCAATTGTTTGTTTATCGGAATGGGAAAATACTTGCTCCTTGGACCGGTTAATTCGAGATGTCACTGATACTAGATAATAGCTAGCAGCTGAGCACAAAGAGTCAGTTCGACGTCGTATTAGCTCGACAACTATCTTCGCTAACTTCAATTACCCGCGCGAGCGAGGTTCCGTGTTTCTCGTACCGTAAAAGAGACCATCTACCTCTCACAATCCTCTTTTCTTATTCTTCTTATTGCTCTTCTTTCTTTGGGTTCGGTCTTTATTTCTAAAGAGCGTTGTGACCGTCACGCTTAGCTTGGCAGTCTACTTGCCGCGAATCGAATCGACATTGTCGGAATAATAACATTGTCAAGCGTATATTAAAGTGAAACTCGGTGAAGATTAGTCAACCAAGTCGGATAAGGCACTTCCGGAAATTATTGGGCTCAATCGAACTTGACATTAGTCCTAAAATACACTTTTGTCTTTCACAATTATTATATAGGATTTTTTTATAAATATTTCAGAACTTAAATTAATTTTCTTAAAATTTTATTTTCAATTTTGTGCAAAAATAAAATTTAATTCATATTTTGAAACAATAAATAGAACTTAATAATAAATTTATTAAAAGCTCATTTAAATTTTTTTTACAATAATAAAATCACGAATTTGATCTTTTTACAAAAAAAAAAAATTTTTATTATCTAATAAAGTTTTTAATTATTGCATTTTTGTAAGAAATACAAAAATATTCTATTCTAAATTATGTTTACTTGAAAAAATGAATTTAAGAATGAAAATTAATAAAAAAAAAAATTTTTTTGCAACCTTAATATTCTTAAAAATTATCTCTAATTTCAATAAAAAAATTAGAAGTGAAAAAATAAATTTGAAAAAATATTTAGAATTCACAATATAAATTGTAAAGCCTCTAAATTTTAAGCACCGTCTATAATAACTATGAGAAAAAAATAATAAGAAACATTGCAGGTAAGAGAGGAGTACACAATAGTCTTGACGCTAACCGATGACAAACTAGGCGACGGAAACTTCATTACCCAGAGTCTATTGCTCCTGGTGGAGGATATTAACGATAATGTCCCAACTTTTCGTCCCCACCCGACGACCCTGACAGTGAAGGAAGACTCGGGACCAGGTATATTAACAACCGTAGAAGCTACGGACGCTGATGAAGGTCCTCATGGTCAGGTAGTTTACCACCTGCAAGAGCTTGATGGAGATAATGATGTGTTCTCAATCTCAACTGTCAGCGGTAAAGGTGTTATTCGTCTCGCTGGTAAGCTCGATTATGAAAAAAAATACCTCTATCAGCTGAGGATCCTCGCCGTTGACCGTGCAATTAATGGGAGAGTGAGTAAAACACCAACTTTATTTACTGAAACTAATTGACAGCTCAATTTGTTTATTAATTTTTTTCCCTCAGATAAATACAGGAACAACGGCGATCTTGGTCAAGGTCCAGGATGTTGAGGATCAGCCGCCGGAGTTCATTGCCATGACTCCAGTCGCCCGAATTAGCGAAAATGCAAAGATTGGAACTTCCGTTCTCCAAGGTTTGTTGAGCATCCACCAATCATGTTCAAATTGATCCATTCTTTTCTTCCTAATAAGACTTAAGACATATATTACAATATTTTCAGAATTTTTTCATCAGAATTTATCTTCTGTTACAGTCCGAGCTATCGACGGCGACAAGGGAATCAACAACCGAGTATCATACAGCATATCCGAAGGACCCAGAAACCTCTTCGACATTGACGCGAATTCGGGCCTCGTTTTCACACGCGCTCAATTAGATAGAGAATCCGAGGACAATGGCGACGGGACATTTATCCTAGAAATAACTGTTAAAGAAATTTCTCGAGTTGTTCCGACGCCTTCAGTAACCACAGAAGTGACTATTATTCTCACGGACGTAAACGACGAGACTCCAAGATTCCGCAGCGATCGTTATGTGGCTGAAATAAACGAAAACGCGCCTCCTAACACCCCCGTAAACTTCCTCGGAGATTCAATTCCCGAAGTGTACGACCACGACTTGGGATCTAACGGCACCTTTCAGATGTTCATCGGCGACGACGCTGGTATTTTTGAAGTAACACCATCTAGGGGCATCAACGAAGCACCATTTTTGATCCGAGTCAAAAATCCATCAGAATTAGACTTCGAGCAACGCTCGGTGATAAATTTGACACTTGTCGCCAAAGAAGTCGCTCTGTTTCATCCGAAATTCAGCGTAGTGCCCGTCACAATTTACATCAAGGACCAAAATGACAATTATCCCGAATTCTCGAAACCTGTGTACGAAGTTAGCGTTCCTGAAAACTGCCCAGCTGGAACTACTGTGGCCTGGGTCCAAGCTTTGGACGACGACAGTGGGAATTATGGATCAGAGGGGATCAGATACACCAATTTAGGAGGCAGCATTGCGTATGCTTTGAAGCTGAATTCAACCTCCGGTATCATTACAGTGAAGCAAACGGGCCCGGGGTTCGACCGCGAACTCGTAGCTCGGCATTATCTCACGGTAGAAGCTCGGGATGACCTTGGAAGGGGAAACCGCAATACTGTGCAATTGGTGGTTAATATAGATGATGTAAATGACAATGCACCTGTTTTTGTGCAGAATAAATACGAGGTAGTTCTTCTGGAAAATAAAGCAAAATTTGAGTCCCCAATAACGGTCGAGGCGTTTGATATCGACTTGAATGGGACTAAAAATTCTGAAATCGTTTATTCGATAGTTGCGAGTGAGTTTTCGAGGAATTTTACAATAGATTCAAGAAACGGATCTGTTAGACCAACGTATCCGATGGATTTTGAAGCACTGCCAATGATTCCCGGCCACAGGGAATCTTCCATCCGTCCTTTGAAATTGACTATCAGAGCAAGGGATTTAGGAACTCCCAGTTTGAGTTCAGACGTCCCTTTTATCGTCTACCTGAAGGATGTGAATGACAACGAACCGATTTTCGAACGCGCTGTCTACCAGAAAAACATCCCAGAAGACCTCGTTGGAGGAACGAGTATTCTGCAAGTTAAAGCTTGGGACAAAGACTTGTCTTCGCCGAACAACAAACTGGTCTATCGGATCCAAAACGGCGCGGGGGATAAATTTGTCATCAGTCCGGAAAGCGGGCTGATCAAAGTAGCGCCAGGGTCTAATTTAGATCCTGATTTAACTTCTCCAAAAACTACAAAGTATGCTTTGACAGTTGTTGCAATTGATAGTGGAACTGACGTTCAAAGATCTGCCCAAGTTTTGGTGAACATTACGATCATTGATGTTAATAACAAACCGCCGGTTTTTGTAGATCCAGGGACAGTTTCTATTCGAGAAAACACCCAAGTTGGAGCGTATGTTCATCGGATTGTAGCTAATGACCCGGATATTGCTCCGATTCTAAGGTACAGAATAGATCCGAATTCTTCGGAAGCAAGAAATGAAGAAGGAACTCTAATTAGAATTCAAGAGTATGATTATCTAGCGGCTTTTGAGCTCAATGCTTTGGACGGTCTTCTGAGAGTCGTAAAACTGCTGGACCGTGAAAGAGTCGAGACTATTAAGTTGGGATTAGTTGTAGAAGACCTGGCTGCTGTGAAAGGGAGCCAATCTGCGTCGGCGGTACTGAATGTGGTGATTGAAGATGAGAACGACAACAATCCCAAATTCCGAAGGCCGTTTTATAGAAGATCTGTGATGGAAAACAGCAAAAATGGGGTTCATATCGCGAGTATCGTTGCTGATGATGCTGACAAAAATCGGACGATAACTTACTCGCTAGAAGGGCCGGCTGAAGCGACTGACTTGGTACATTTGGATTCAGAAACTGGGGAAATGGTTGTGGCGAATAAAATTGATCGGGAAGTATATTCGTGGCTGAATTTAACAGTTCGGGCTACTGATTCTGGTGTTCCTCAACGAGCCAGTTTCTCGGAAGTTTACATTCAAATTTTGGATGAAAATGACAACAATCCCTATTTTATAACCGATGTTACAAATATTACAATCATAGAAAACACGAAAATAGGAACGGAGGTGATACAAATTGAAGCGAGAGATCCTGATAGTGGTGATTACGGAAAAATAACTTATTTATTGGACCATATGTCTTCACAAGGAAGATTTGCAATCCATCCTGAGACGGGAGTTTTGTCTGTTGTGAATGAAATTGACTGGGAAGCTAAAAGTAATTATGTGATAATAATAGAAGCGTGGGATAACTACCAATTTGGTTACACGGCTGGAGAATCACGAAATGCATTCAAACAAATAGAAGTAATAGTCGAGGATGTTAATGACAATTCTCCTAAAATGGAAGTACCTGATGAGTGTATTACAATATCTGAGTTCCATGATATTAGAGACGCAATAGCGGTCATCAAAGCGACCGATGCTGATAACCCGGCGAGTCTTAATGGACAGATAATGTTCAGAATCTTAACTGGAAATGAACTAGGCTTGTTTTTGCTAGAGCAAACTGACTATTGGACAGTCAAAATAAAAGCTGTGAGTTCTTTAAGAGGAAAATTCGGCAACTATTCGATGCTATTGGAAGCCCGTGACCTTGGATCTCCAGCTAATCAGGACAATAAGTACTTGAAGGTCTGTGTTACCGATTACAATGACAATCCCCCGGTGTTTTTGAGCCCTCAGCACAACACAACTATTCGCGTGCCAGAAAATGTGACTGTTGGCTCGACTATAATCCAAGTCGAAGCTCAGGACGCAGATACTGGAGTAAATGGAGAAGTACACTATCGGCTGAAGCAAGATCTTGCTGGTCATTGGAGAACATTTCAGATTGATGATAAAACTGGAGTGGTCACTCTTAAACAGCCATTAGACCGCGAAACGCAGAGGATGTATGAGGTAGAATCCTTTCAATTGATAATTGAGTCTTCTTTAGTCCAAATTTTCTAAGTATTGCTCTTTTCAGATAAGAATTGAAGCGTATGACCTTGGAATTCCAACGCCTCTGAGCACGGACTTGGATCTCATCATCTACGTCCGGAATATCAATGATTACGAACCGCAGTTTTTAGTAGATGTATTTACAGTAGCGTTTGCGGAAGAACAGCCTCCTGGTTCTGAAATTGTTGATCTTCCGGAGACGATTGATAGAGATGAAGTCGACGATTTAGACGACCCGCCGACCCAAGTTTGCTACTTTATCGTCGGCGGTAATAACGACGGCTACTTTACCTTGGATCCTTTCAGCCACAAGCTTACCGTAAGTGAATAACGTTTTATTGATATCGTCGACATTTAAAACATATTCAGCTTTTAATTTCAGACTGCCGAAAAATTAGACAGAGAAACTCTAGAAGAACATTTGCTTTTGGTGAAAGCGACTGAAGATTGTTCAACCATGCCCGAAAACGAAAGCTTTTTTGATTCTGCTGATGATACTCTATTAAAAGTTGTCATTACTGTTAATGATATCAATGATAACGCGCCGAGATTTGTCAGTAAAGTATTTACTGGTGGAGTGACTACTGAAGCTGATTTCGCTACTGAAGTCATTCATATCAAGGTAAAGCTTGTGATCAACGATCAATCATTTATACGATCAAGTTTTGAAATTTACTGGAATTTTTTCAAACAGGCAATAGATTTGGATGCTGGAGATAACGCTGCAGTGAGCTACTATCAGGTTGGAAAAATTCACATGACTCTCACTGAAGGCTTGGACGACATGAACATCCAGCCTTTTTTGGTAGACAGACTAACCGGCGCGGTGACTTTGAATTTTGATCCTCAGCCGAGGATGAAGGGCTACTTTGACTTTATGGTGCTTGCTAATGACACCGACGGGCTTAAAGACACCTCTAGAGTGTTTATTTATCTGCTCAGAGAGGATCAGAGGGTTAGATTCGTTCTGAGACAACATCCTCCGGAAGTTCGGAATCGAATTGACAATTTTCGAGAGTAAGTTCAAAATTTTTTAATAAATTTTTGAAAAAAATTGAATTAAATTATTATTTTTCAGAATTCTTGGGAATGTAACGGGAGCAATTGTGAACGTGGACGAGTACAAAGTCCACGAAAATCAAGACGGGTCTGTCGATCGCACCAGAACAGATCTGTATCTCCATCTTGTAAACCGTAGAGACAATTCAATTTTGGACGTCTCTGAAGTTCTAGAACTCGTAGACCGCAACATCGAAAAATTGGACGGCCTTTTCAAAGATTTCAACGTTTTGGACACCCAGCCGGCCGAGTCGCAGGCGATAGTCCAAATTGAGCAAGCTGGAACGACTTTTTGGCTGTTAGTACTGACGCTGTTTCTAGGCGCACTGTTGATTATGTGCATTGCGATTTCTTTATCGCAGAGAGCTTCGTTCAAAAGGCAATTGAAAGCTGCCAATGCATCTCCGTTTACCACCAACGAGTCTGAGTTTATTCGCGGGCCGGGGAGGGTTCCAAATACTAATAAACACAGTGTAGAGGGCTCGAACCCCATTTGGATGCATGCTTACGAGAATGAATGGTTCAAAAGTGATGAATCTTTTAGTCATAACTCTGATCGTGATTCACTGGATGAAAATGCTTTGAATAATGAAGAAGTTGTCGAGAGAAATTCTGGGGAAAGAATTGCCAATGAAAATCCTTATTATACTCAACCCGGACCTGGTTCAATATCTAGGTAATTTATAATTTATTTTTTTTAATAAAAAATTTATTTTTTGGTTAAAAAAAATTTTTTTTATTTAAATTTCAATCAAAGTTATTATTTACAATTATTTTCAATCAAATGAATTTTTTTTTATAAGAATAATTAATTTATTTATCAACTATTATTTTTATGAAGATAAAAATTTATTTTTTATAATAATAACAATTTTTATAAAATAATTTTTTATAAAAAATGTAATAAAAAATTAGGATAAAAATTTCATTAACATTTTTTATTTTTATTATTATTACAGTGTAGAAAGTATAACAGCCAACCAAAGCGAATCTTGTCGAGAGTCTCCAATCTACCAGCACCAAAATCCAGTCCCAAATAATCCTCTCGGTAAAAAAGTAGAAACCACCGAGTTATAATTAAATAAAAAAAAAAAAAAAAAAAACTAACTAAGCAATGAACTTTGTAAATATTCTATCTTTTGTACTTAATATTTATTTATACGGTAATATATTTTGAGATGCCACAGTTTATTTATTAAAATAGGCATAAATAAATCTCTTTTTATTTATAAAATCCATCCTAAGATTATTTAATAATTTGAGTGTGAGTAAATTTTGTACATGTTTTTGTAAATGTTTATCATAAGAAATAAACCATTTTTAAAAATAATTCCATGTGTGCAGAGTTTTTTAGCGCGCCGAATAAATCGATATGGATGATTTACTGTAGCGAATGCAACATGTCGCACGGCTAATTGTAACGCACACGCGACAAAAATAAAATGGGTCATTCTATCATATCAGATTTTATTTTTAATCTAAAAATTTTTATTTCAGAAAATTTCACTAAGTTTTTATTAAAAGCTAATTTAATTTTTCGTGTAAAAAAAAGTCGATCCTTTTAAAAAAAAAATTATCTTAAATCTAAATACTTAAATTTAAAATTTTTTTAAATCACGCAATAGTTTTAAAACTCTCCGTTAAAAAATAAGTGTTTCATTTTTTTTTTTTTTATATTGTCATTATTATGAATTATGACCCAATTTTTAAACATAAAACATATGTAAATAGACAACGGTGTCAAAATATATAATAAATTATATTCGGGTGAATTTAATACGAGTAAGCGGGAATAGAAAGCCAAAAAAGAGATCGGGAGAAAACTAAACTACCTCGGTCGCTTATCGTCTTCCTGGACATTGTGGTTGCGTGCAAGTTTATGGTAATTTGGGGTGAACTAAGAACCCGTCGGTCAGTCTCGACTCATTCCCCTACATACATATATATTTATACATATAAAGAACAGTATAAGGGCAAGTGACCCCACATATAACAGTATATATCTTAGAACAGGCAGAATATTCCACGATAAGTCGGTGCAATCTATTTCCTTCGCTCCCGCAGGACATTTAAAGACACGTTGTATCTGCTGCGTTATATTATTTTGCCGTAGTAAAATTCTAAACCAGTAAAAATCACGGCGACAGAAAAGTAATTTAGTTTTTACGGGGAAAAAAGTTGAGGCAATAATGAAGTGACAAAGCAAAAGGTCGAGTGATTTGAAAAGGGCGGACAGATCTTTAGCTTTATAAGGCTGGCTCCGTTGTAATCACGCGATTTTTATTCCACTGGAGAACTTACAACGCTGTTGTAAAAACTTTGTTTAGTTGAATTGTAATATAAGGGGTTCTTATACTTTTATAGATACGTTCTTAGATATTATCCACCGAATTATTAAGTCTGAGTCATCGCGTTCGAATTATGTCGCACGCAGTTTGTATATGGTTTTACTTTGAATACATAGGCGGATTATTGATTTTCGATCATATTTCATGGAGTAATTCCCGGCTTATATGTTAAACTCACATTTGTTTCTTTGAATCAATAGATAATTTAAATTTTATCTTTATTTTAAATAAATTTTATAATTTTTAAAAGATTACTTAGTTGTAATTTTTTGTAAAATTTAATCGGGACTTTGAAAAAATTTTTAAATATTTAAATTTATACTTTTACAATAATTTATATTTTTTTTAATATTTATAGTAATTTTATTAATATTATAAATATTTTTTTAAAATTTATTATAAAAATTCAAGACTAAAAATTTTAATTTTATTAAAATAAAAGGATTATATTCTTGTCTAAAATTCTGAATAAATAATTTATTTTTTTAATTATTAATAACTTTTTGAAATTACCAATAAAGTTTTTAATTTTTAATGACCCGAGAAAAAATATTTATATATAATTATATATATTTATATATAAATTGATTATATATGATTATATATGAAAAATGGCCAAATATAATCATATATAATTATATATAACAATGTTTAATTATATATTTATCACATCTAATTAATTATTGGGTTAATTTTATGGATAGAGTATTTAATATGGTCCTACGCAATTCTCTAAAAATAATTAAAATGCAAAAAAAAATGTCAGTATATAATTTTACTGCTATAACACCAGCGGTCACCTATCCAACTACTAACCCTACTCAATGCGGCTTAACTTTGGTGATCTCCGTGCGTCTTGAAGTTTCTGTCTGCTATGCTGCTATTTTAGACAATAATGATTCTATGATCGACTTAATGCATCATATGAGTTTATCTTAAATATAATATAAAAATTGATTTTATAATATATTTGAATAGTCATAGTTCATAATTAATTTATTTTAATAAACTATTCATAAAATAAATAATCATTTTACTATTAGGTAGTAGTAGAGCAGACCAAAAAATTTCATAGGAAATGTAAAAAATTTGTAATTCAGAATTATTTAAACGTAATTATAAACATCATTTTACACTTTTCGTAATTACCAAAAAAAAATTTTTTTTCAAAGAAAAAATTTTTATGTATGTTAATTATATATAAGCATATATAATTATATATGGGACTATGTACAATCTTGCATAGCTGTATATTGCTCCATATATAGTCATATATAATTATATATGATTATATATAACCCCATACACAATTCCATTTATAATCATGTATGATTATATATAACTATATATAATTATATATAACAATATTTAATTATAGATTTATTACATCTAATTAATTATTGGGTTAATTTTACGGATAAAGTATTTAATATGGTCCTACGCGATTCTCTAAAAATAATTAAAATGCAAAAAAAAATGTCAATATATAATTTTGCTGCTATAACACCAGCGGTCACCCATCCAACTAATAACCCTACTCAATGCTGCTTAACTTTGGTGATCTCCGTACGTCTTGAAGTTTCTGTCTGCTGTGCTGCTATCTTAGACAATAATGATTCAATGATCTACTTAATGTATCATATGAGTTTATCATAAATATAATATAAAAATTGATTTATAATATATTTGGATAGTCATAAGTCATAATTTATTTATCTTACCGAATTTAATTATAATATAACACTTATTTGAATAATAAAATAAATAATGATTTTACTATTACGTAGTAACAGAGCAGACAAAACATCTCATAGGAAATGTGACAAATTTTCTATTTCAGAATTATTTAAACGTAATTAAAAATATCTTTTTACACTTTTTGTGATTACCAAAAAAAAATTTTTTTTCAAAGAAAAAATTTTTATGCATGTTAATTATATATAAGCATATATAATTATATATGATTATATATAATCTCATACACAATTCCATATATAATATATGATTATATATAATTTTATATAATTATATATGTGATTCCCTATATAATCATATATGATTATATACAATTATATATGATTGTATAGAAAAATTTTTTCTCGGGGATAAATAATTGTATAATTAAATTTATCAAAACTCGAAAATTTGCGGTCTAATTTTTTTTAAAAAGTCTTATAAAAAACTATCGCGAGTTTTTTTTTCATGTTGACGCGCTTGATTGCAGGTTTAGTTCAAGCAATATAATGTAGAGTAGTTTCACTGCATTTGATCTCTAAACGGATAGGAAGGATCGTAAAATATAGTCATGTGGGTCAGCTATAACTTGCTCTACATAGTTACATATCAAAGTGACCAGAACAGAAAAATAAAAATAAAATAAATTTAATTCAAATAACCTTTTACAATTTTATAATTTACAATTTACAATAGCAATAAAATAAATTTATAAATAATGTGAGTAGGAGTACTCGAGAATTAAATCAGCTTGTTGATTCCACGTTAAGGGTGGTTAACCACAACCATCCCTACCACGAAATATGCCCCAAGTACCAGTACCGTGACGTTTCTTCCACGTGACGCCCGGCGTTACAGGGGCGATCAACTTTAACACTGCGACAACCCCTTCAAATGCCTCGGCGCGTCCTTCGCGGCCACGTGTGCCCTCGTCCTACCTCTCTAAAATGTATTGCTGCGATTATATTTATTTTTATTTAGCTGGGAAAGTGTTCATTAGTAATTCTATTGAGTCTAGTGCTTGCAAATAGTGCAAAAATAATTATTTATTTTATAAAATAGTGTTTGTTTACTATAAATTCACTTAAGTGAAAGTTAAATCGATTTTTGTGGTTCAAAATGATTCATAAAATATTTTTATTTATTTATTTAATGTGAAATTTAATTTGAAGGTGGGATTTAAAATACGCCGATATGTTTTGGAAGTTAAAAGAATATTTTTAAAATAAGTTTACAATTGCAGGTAAAATATTTTTTAATTAAATTATTAGTATAAAATTTTTAAATAAAATTTACACTTGCAGTGAAGTATTTTATCATTTTTTTTAGTCTAAATTTTATTAATTAAATTTTAAAATAAATTGTCATTTGTAAAAAATGTTTTAGTCTTTTTTTTTTAATTTAAATAATTAATTAAATTAAATAAAAAATTTTTTCTAAAAAAATTTTCAATATTTTATTTTTTAACTTAATTTTATTAATTTATTTTTATTTCTAAAAAATAAAAAAATAAAAATAATTAATTAAAATTAAATAAAAATTTTTTCCAATAAAAACTTCAATATTTTATTTTTTAACTTAAATTTATTTTTAATTCTATGATATAATAATAAAATAAATGACATGATGACATGTCAGCGTGAAGATACTTGATCGCTCTACTTGTAATTGTGTCGGAAAGATACTACAAATAATTAACTTCCATTGATATTATTCAATGAAAAATAAATACAAAGCTTTTACGCTTATTGCAATCAAACAGATTTATTTGCTCCGTAAGTAATCAGTTAACAGAAAAGAGGCCAAAGAAGCGCTCCTTTTTTACGGCATGTTTGCGAAAAAATAATTGCGAGCCCTAAAAAATAATGTTTACCGAGGAACGATTTTATAAACAAAGATAAACAGTATTTGACCCGATTTTCAAGATTCTTAATGTACACTCATCACCATAGTCACGCATCAATTTGCGCCTCACGTGGGAGCTCAGAACTTTAAATTAATGGCAGTTCCAATTTATTTTTCCGTTTCTTAATAAAAAAATGATTGAATAAAAATTTTAGAAAATTAGAAAATTTATTAGTTATAATAAAAACAATAATTACAGTATCAAACTTTATCTAATTAATAATACAGGTCAGATAAACTCATGATTTACGATGTCTTGATCACAAAATCAATCCCCCGGACTTTATCAATTGAACCCATCACTTGAAAATTAAAGATAAATCACTCGGCTTTTAAAATAAAACACCGAACATTAATTAAGTGGAAAAAAATTATCGGGATACATTTGCTGAGTAATTTAACAATCAATAAGGTAAAAATGTGTTAATAATTTATGAAACGCCTGTATTGCGACTCCACACATTGTTGTACAAAAGAAAATCGATTTATTTTAGTAAATGTCAGGGAAGCCAACGACCATTTAATTAGAGTGACCTATATATTACTCACCTGCTAAGTAAATAAAAATAATAAAAAATGTCTAAGTCATTGTATTTATTTTTATTTTAATATTAATGGGGAGTAAGGCCTAATTTTATTTTATTTCTTTTTATATAACTCTTGACACATGCTCTCAGCGGAGAAAATGCTAAAAATCGTTTGCTCTATCACGCGAGTTAAGACATTGACCACCCAAACGATATAAATAATTGTATTACTCGATAACATCTAGTCCATTAACTCGATTCTGCTCAATGATTGATTCAAGAAGCTTTAATATTTATATTAAACTCGATTGTAATTTAGAAAAAAAATATTTCATTTTATTTTTTTACTAATCAATTTTTCTTTAAGTTTATTGAAGAAAAAATTTCATTTTTTGTATTTTTATAAATAATATATATTTCTAAAAAAAAATTTCAACCAATTCCCGTGTAAAAAAAAATCGTCTTAAAATTGTCTTAAAATTGTCGTTCGTTTAAGATCTTAAACGTGACACAAACTAAGACTATTATATTTTAAGATTCTTTTAAGATGCCAAAAAAAAAATTCCGAGATTTTTTAATAATTATTTTGATTTTTTTAAGACTATTTTAAGATTTAAGTTTTAAAATAATTTTTATATAGTCTTGAAAAATCTTAATCATCTAAAAATTAATTTTCACAACAAATTCGAGAACAAAATTTTCAAAAATCTGCTCTCGGAATTTTTCTTTTGGCGTCTTAAAAGAGTCTTAAAATAGTCTTAGTTTGTGTCACGTTTAAGATCTTAAACGAACGACAATTTTAAGACAAATTTTAAGACGATTTTTTTTTTACACGGGTTAATTGATCAATAATTTTTCAAAGTACTACATTATAAATTTTTGAAAAAAAGTCTTCATAAAATCGCATTTAAAAATTCAGTATGATAAATAATTAAAGCTCTAAGGCTTTTTAATGGGTGCAATATTAAAAATTTGGATTTTTTTCTTTTGTTAGTATATCCTTAATAAATTAAATTTTAAAAAATAAATTTTTTTTTACTTTTTAAAAGGATTTTTCCTCTTAAATTATAATGAAAAATTTTTAATTATAAATTTTTATAATAATCCATATTTTGATTATATTTTGGCATAAATTAAATACTCAATCTCTTATATACATGTACTTTAATGAAACTAACATACCTATATATATGTTTACCATTTAGCCAATGCCTTGGCGTCAAATTAATTAAATTAAATAAAATAAATAGATAATTGTTTTATTGTTAATATTATTAAAAAAAATAAATAAATAAATTATGAATAATAATTTTCCAGAATGCCCTTAGAAATATGGATAAAAATATGGCTATACATGAACTTGGTCCTAATAGGGACAAAAAGCGCGCGACCAAGATTCGATACATCAACAGATATGGGAAATGTTCTCGTCCCAGCAGACGCAGAGATCGACTCGGTAATTTACCGCTTACGCGCCACTGATCAGGATGTTGATTTTCCTCTAGTATTCGAAATAACAGCAACAGTAACACCAGTGGTTAGGATAGAAAATTTACCTTGCACTCTCTACAACAAAGTTTGCCAAGCAAATGTAATTTTAACAAGACGCTTGACCGCTGGACGTCTTCACGATTTCGCAGTCAGAGTACGAGACTCAAAAGGTGATTCTAACTCGATGCAGGCTACTATTTCCGTGACGAATGCAACTACACCACGCGATAAAATATTTCCGCATATACCCGCGCTTATTATGGTTCCAGAGGTTTGTATTCTGCTCATTTCCTGCATACAATTGTCTTCAATCCAAAAGAATGAGATTTTATTTTTCTTTTCAATCGACTAGGATGCCAAGCCTGGCAAGGAACTTGATTATATTTTAGTTCGCTCGAACCCGTGGATTGGAAAGCCTGTTTACATTGAATTGTGGGTAAGTATGATAAGAAATTCATACTTGTCAAGTAATTACGCTAATAATTATTGAATTTTTCATTCATTCATTCAGCAACCCAAAGAATTATTCACCATAAGACAGCGGCAAGATTCTAGTAACACTAGAGGAGTTATTACATTGATTGGAGAGCTGGATTTTGAAACTCAGTCAATGTACACTTTGACCATATATGCTACGGTACTTTTTTTATTTTTTTTTTTAAATTATTAAATAATTTTTTGATATTTAATAAATTTTTTTAATTATCAATAAGCTTATAAAATTACATGATTTACAAAATATTTAAAAATTATAAATATTTATTATTAATTTAAAAAATTGTTTTTTAAATATATTTTATTATTGGCTAAAATAAATATTTTTTAATTTTAATTATTAATAAATAAATTGTTGTAAAAAAAATTTTTTCTCAATTTCAAATATAGAAATTTAAAAAAAAAATGATAAATACAATTTTTTTTTTAATAATTAAATTTTTTTAAGCTTGAATAAAAAAAATAAAATAAATAATGAAGAGTAATAATTATTAATGACAAAATATATGAATTTTTTTAATAAAGTAAATTAATTTAATATTTATTAAATTTTAATAAATGCCCTCCTTAAAAAAAATATTAATTAAAAATTAAAAAACAGTTTACAAATAAATTTATTAACAATTTTTTTTTCTCAGTATAATAATTTACATCAACTGTAAGGGTTAAATAAATTTTTATTTTTTACCAGGATCCATACACAGAACGGCAAAGAGATACAAGAAATATCGCAGGTCTACATTTGATAGTAATTGTCCAGGATGTCCAGGACGTGCCTCCAATATTTACTTTAGCTCCGCCTCTAACAAAAATAAACAACACCGTCCAACCTGTAGGTCCTTCAGCCTAACAATAACATTATAAATTAATAAAACAAATTAAAATTATATTTTTCTATCAGGGCGACGTTATTCTGAGGGTTCACGCGGAGGACGGTGACAAAGGAGTTCCCCGCGAAATAACTTACGGCTTAGTGTCAGAGGGGAATCCATTCACGCCTTTTTTCAACGTCACTGAGTCAACCGGTTCGTAAAAAAAAAAAAACAAACATTAATGATAATTCAAAAAATAAATTAAAATTGATAAAAAGTTTCTTTGCGCAATTTTTAATTCAACTGACAATCTCGTCCCCGATCTTGGGTTTGATTGAGGTGAAAGTGAGTCACGAGAGGGGTGCCGAGGGTCATTAGACAAAAGCAAAAAATCTGACCGTTGTATTACTAACTAAGTAGCTAACTTATCGATCTTGGACTGTAGAGTTTACACATTACAAACGAAACAAAACTTACGATCTTTATCTCACGTCCGAGCTAGACTTACAACTAAAATATACTATTTAAGTTAAAGCTTTCTTCATGCTTGATTTACTACTCACGTGTATTAATATGCAAAACAAAACCGCTACCATCCCTAGAAAGTATCAACATTATTTTATTACCATCCATAATTAAATCTAATTACAATTGTTGCGGCTAAATTATTCACAAGATATTCAAATGCAGATGAATAAATTCTCCCGGAGATTTTTTAATTACACATTAAAATATTTAATATTTTTTCTTTTAATTCCAGGAGAAATTATTCTAGCTCGCCCGCTGGAGGAGCTCACGCAAATAACGCACGTTGGTGCGCCAATAGTATTAAGCGTTGTTGCAGAAGAGATTCGCAGGTCAACGGACGAACCACCGGCTCAGGCGACTGTTGTAGAAGTCGGGTTGCTACTCGGCGAACCGGGGAACAGTCCGCCGTACTTCGAGAATGATAAGTTGGTACCTAATTTGCGATGATAGATCATCAAAATTATCATTGTAAATTTTATTTAATTGCTATTAATGCTTTTTGATTAGTTATGTGGCCTGGATGGATGAAAATGCCGAGCCAGGGTCCGCGATTGTCTTCAATGATCCTTATTTTACTAGAGTTAGGGACGGAGACATCGGCAAGGCCGGTGTTTTTGCTTTAAAGTTGGAAAATAATAATGGGACTTTTGAAATCAGTCCTGCTGTCGCTGAACGGTCGGCTAATTTTATTTTAACTGTACGGGATAATTCACTTATTGATTATGAAACTTACAAGAGCTTGCGGTTTCAGGTAATGCTATTTTTTTAATTAAAAAAAAAAAATTTTCATATTTTATGGCTGGATTATTTTAAAATACAATTAAATTTAATTTTTTTTTATAAGTTTGCATTTTTTAAGATTTTAAAAAAGCAATTTGATGTTTTTCTATCTAACAAAAAATTTTTTTATGAATAAATAAAATTTTTTATCAATTTAAAAAGCAAAAATTTTTTTTACACGGAAAAAAAATTAAAAAATTACATTTTAAAATAATTTATTAAAATTAACGGAAAAAAATTGGGAAAATTACAATTTAAAAATATATTTTAAAACTAGAAAAAAATACTTGAGATTTTTTATTTTATAAAAATTTTATTTAAAAGTGTAATTTTTTAATTTATAATTTTTACACACTTTAAAAATAAATTCTAAGAAAAAAAACAATTTTTTATTGAAAAAAGACAATTTTTTTACCTTAATAAAAATTTTACTTGAATAAAGAGTATTAAAATCTTTTTTATTGCTATTTTTATTTTTTTTTTGTACAGATAACAGCCCAAGAAGTAGGACCAGCAACAAATTTATCAACAACAGTACCAGTAACAATTTTTCTCCGAGACATAAATGACAACCCGCCGGAATTCCAAGAAGAATCCTACGAAATAACATTATCAGAAAATGAAACCGCGGGTACGCGAGTGATTCAAGTCCATGCGACAGACAAAGACACCGGGTCCTTCGGGAGGATTCAGTACACGAGGATAATCGGGCCTGGCAATGAAGCGTTTGTGATAAACCCCGATACGGGTGTGATAACAGTAGCCATGGGAACTTCAATTTTAGACCGCGAAATAACGCCCCAACTGATGCTGACCGTCGAGGCTTGCGATGAAGATGGCAAAGGATTAAGAGGAACTGTTCCTTTAATTGTGAATCTCTTAGATGTCAATGACAACGCTCCTGTTTTCGAAAAAGATTCTTATGAATTTATACTCAATAGTGATTTGACAAACTTTACTTCTTCAGCGATAATAAAAGTATTAATAAATTACCTAATTTATTTTTAATTAATATTAATTTGATTTTAAAAAATAATTGTATTTTCAGGCTTTTGATGCTGACGCTGAGCCGCCAAATAATGTTGTAAATTATGAAATAATTCATGGGAACTATGACAAAAAATTTTATCTAGATGAAAATACGGGAGAATTATTTTTACGCGAACAAATTACTAAAGTTAGAAATGCTCGGCATAATTCTGACCAAAAAATTTCCACAAATTACCGAAAAAATTTGATAAAGTCCCAAAATAATTTTATAAATTCAACATTAAGCCCCGGAAATATCTCAGAGAAAAATGAAACGATAAATCAAAAAATTTTAAGAAAAAAACGTGAAGATAAAAACATTGTTTTTACTTTAACTGCTCGAGCCTACGATTTGGGTAATTAAATTTTTTTTTAATAAAATACAACATATTGCTTTAAATCTAAGCATGAAATTTTGATTCCAGGCGTCCCCCATTTATCAAGTACAACCCAAATAAATATTATCCAGCTTCCTTTAGCCGGAGTTACGACAATAATGCTTTTAGTACCGGGAGAAAATCCTGACCGGGAGAAAACAATAAAAACATTGGAAACAATCACTGGAGGGAAGATTACAATCAAGGATATTCGTCCTTATACTTTAGAAAATTTACCGAAGGATTATGGGAATAATTTGCCGACTCCTGACGGCAAAAAGTACGATTAATTTTTTAATTTGTAAGCCAGTTTGTAGAAATTTAATTTTTAAAAATTTACAGGAGTATCGTAGTAGCCCAAGTGGAGCAAAAAAGTCCTGGAGGATCATTTGTGGACATTGAAAAAATTTTGGCAGCACTTACTGCTAATGGGTTTGGAATTATTGGGGGTGATATGACGCCTGGAAATGGTACTAGTAATCCTAAAGACAACGAGGGTGGGAAAAATGGGAGTATCACTACAATTCATAACGAAGAAGTAGTGAGTATAATTTTTTTGACGAGAATTTTTACGAAAAAAAAAATATTTACTTATTCAAAATATTAACTATTTAAATTATTAGAATCATATTTAATTATTATAAAAATATTAAAGCTTTAAATTTAATAAAAAACATTAGAATATTTTTATGATAATTTAAATTCATAAATAAGAGCAACATTTTTAATCCAGTAAATTATTTCAGATTGTCTACAGAGCCGAGAACAAATTATTATTCTGGCTACTGATAATTTTAGGACTAATCCTCTTAGCAGCAATTATCACTTTAATAGTCTGCTGCATATGTCCAGGGTGTTTATTATACATGGCGCCTCGAAAAAGGCGAATTCACTCATCTGAAACGCTTATCGCCCGAGCAGACAATAGACCTAGGCGCCACCTTCATCGTCAACATCATCACCCACAATTAGAAAGTAAATAAATCTCCCTCAATCTTAACTTAATTTCGAACCCTGTTTAACTAATTTAAATTCCAGGTGTTTGGGTGGAAAAGAAACAAGCCTGGAGTGCAGATCCAACCCGCCCAAACTGGCAGTTCAACCGCCGAAACACTAATAACTTCGGGATAGCTTCCCTCCCCGGAGACGTGGTCCGCCTAGATCGTGATCGTGACCACCCTCTAAAAGCCAGCTCGCTTCAATTGCACGATCCGCCAGTGCCCGTTTACTTGATCGACGCCAACAGGACAGGCGACGAGCGGATTTTCGTAGAAGACATTGCCATTGAAGCCAGAGCCAAAGGTCACCACGAATTGAATGAAGCGGCTCTTCGTCACGAATTCGAGCGAGATTCCGATCTAGCACGGCAAGCCGTGCCCCATTACATGCCCCAAATTCCCCGAGAGTCACACTTTTATCGGAATGGCAACGCAGAAGTCATGAGACTTGTTTCTCGCGAGGACGCTAATCACGTCACAGTAGAACGACGAGTTCCTGAGATAGTCATTGATCAGTCGACTCTGCATAGAGTTGACGGGAAGGATATCCTCCTCAGGAGGTTCATTGAGGACCAGAAATTGAGAGAGCATGAGTATCATGACATGCAGGAGTTAGAAAGACAAAGCATGGAGTCCCACAAGAGGCAGAAGGAAGCTTCCATGCAGCAGAAACAGGAAATTCTGCTGATACCAGAACGTCTGAATATGTCAGAAGATCACCGACATATTGAAGAAGTTGGTCCTGATGTTCAGCGGCTGATTATTGACCATGGTCCTGATATCAAAGAGAATCAGGAGGTTCTGAGCAACATACTGATCCATGGATCGACGTCCAAAATTTCTGACCAGGAACATTCGAAGCAGAACCTTCAACACCTTCAACACTCGATTCATGATTTAGAATTAGCTCGGCAAAACGCTCTGCTAACCAGGCTGCTCTTGGAGAAGGATCGAGGAGTTGGAGGTCTGCTAGTGGACTCAGGAAGCTACTTAGAGACCCAAAGCTTGCCTGGACAAGTAGCAGCTGGGACTCAGACGAATCAGACCACTGCTACTCAGACGGAACAATTGAACCGCAGCAGAAGTGATAATGAGTCGGAGGATGATAGCAGATTGAGGAGGAAGCGGTCGAAGAAGCGATATGATGAGCCGAAGAGGATCAGGACTTTGTGGATGAGGTCCCCGATTCGTGAAGAGGATCAGTATCCTGAGAAACATGGGACTTTTCTGAGGAAGAAGATCAAGGATATCAAAGACGGGAGGAAGAGTTCTATTGAGCAGGAGGTTCTAAGGGAGATTTCTGATTCTTTGGATGAAACGGGAGATAAGGAAACTCTTCTGAGTAGGAGGCTTTTCGGTAGTTCTTCAAGGGATGATGAAGTGATGGTTCGTCGTGATGATTCCTCGTCGATGGAAGTTCTGAAGGATGAGTTTACGAGGGTTAGGGAGTGTGATAAGAGAGAGGATGATAAGAAGAAAAGGGAGAGTGGAAAGAAAGAGAGCAAGCGGGACAAAAAGACGGAGCCGAGTTTTAGAATCTTAGAGAGGGAAATGAGCTCGTTGAGTAAAAAGCTATCAAAATTGGCGGGGAAAACGCTGAAGTGCAAAGATAGTAATCAGGAGAGTGATAAATTTTTAACGAATGATTCTCAGGACAAAGAGGCTGATACGAGCACGGAGTTTAAAAGCGATGAAAGAGGAAGGGAAAAAATGGACAAGATTGAAATTATCAAGTCGAGATCTAGATCTACTCAAAGAGTTACTAAGTCTACGTCATTAAAAATTCCTAAAGATACTGAAAAAGCTGAGAAGAGTAAGAGTAAGTATCGGAAGAATCAGGTTTTGAGTACTGGTAGTTCGGAAATTGAAGAAATTGTGGATAAGCCGAAGAAAAAGCAAACTGTTGCTAAGAAATCTGATGAGGATAAATTTAAGTTTTTGGTTGGGAAAACTATAAAATCGAGGCTGAAACGACAGGCGAATGTTGAAGATGATAAAAAAGCCAGTCCTTATAGGGCTACAGTTGAAAAACAGAAGAAGACTTTGGTGAAGCAGTTGAAGAAAGTGGAGGGGAAGAGTAAGAAAGGTACTAGTGATTCTAGTCATGGTAAAGAAGTTGGCAAATCGACTGAAGGGAGCGATTCCAAAGAGTCTGATAGGGATTGCAATAAGTTGAGAGGAAGTTTGATGAAACAGTCCAGTTCCAGTGCTGTGTCCAAGGAATCGAGGAAAGACGCTAAAGAAAAAGCTTCGATGATTGAACCGAAAATGAAGTCTAAAGAAAAGTCTAGTCATATTCTTCCTTCGGGACGTGAAAGTGATTTTAGGGGTCGAGGAACTAAAAGTACAGACAGTGAGTCGCTTAAATCGGATAAATCGTTTCGAAAACAAAGTGCTGGATCTTCGAAAAAGTCTAGTGTGATAACTAGTCCTGAACTTGGGAGGTTTGAAGAATTAGAAGAAGAACATGGTAAAAATCATGGTAAAGGCGTTGAAGAGGTTAAAGATGTAGTTATGGAGCATGTTGATGGTTTGAAGAAAGAAATTGTGGAAATAAAGGAAACTATACAGACTGAAATGATGGAAAAAATGATGGATAAGTCAGAAAAGGTTGAAAAAGGAGAACACGTTTTGGTAAAGTCTTCTGTTGAATCTCCTGCAAAATTGATTACTAAAGAATATGATGCTCTTGAAAAAGAAGAAAAAGATCGGAGTAAGGAATCAGTTTTTTTGATGTCGGAAAAAATGATGGATAAGTCAGAAAAGGTTGAAAAAGTAGAAGAACACGTTTTGGTAAAGTCTTCTGTTGAATCTCCTGCAAAATTGGTTACTAAAGAAGATAATACTGCTGAAAAAGACGAAGATCAGAGTAAGGATTCAGTTTTGTCGATGGAAAAAGTGATTGAAAATACAAAAGAAAGACTTGAACATAAAGGAACTACGACTATTATCAAACATGTGGATAGTATAAAGGAAACTGTTCAAAAAGTAGCTGATAAAATGAATGTTGATGTTATTGAGAAAGTAAAAGACTTTGTCGACTCTAATAAAGGATCCCCGGAGCATGATTCACAAACAAAGGAAGTACTTATTGATCGTTCGGGTAGTAGTAAAGGAGGTTCGCCGAAAAAAGTAGAAGAAAGTAGTATATCCATTGAAGAATTGGAAAAAAATGACGAGGATAAAACAAAAGATGAAGATAAGCCGTTAAATGTTGATGTTTTGGAAGAAACTGATGGAAAACAGTTGGTTGAGAGTGATAAGCAAGAACAGAATAGCGAAGTTGAGGTAGTTAAAGACGAACAAGAAAAAAAATTGGATGAAAGTGAAGAATTGAAAGAATTAGGAAACTTGGAATTAACTAAAGTTGATCAATCTAAGCGAGAGGACGAACTGGCTTTGGGTAAAGTTGAAGAAAAACCAGACGCTGAATTACAAATCAATAATAGTAAAGCTGGGGAAGAAATAAAGACTGAAGATTCGAGTGGTATAGCTTTGACGGCTCCTAAAATAATTATGATTGCGCCGACTATTGAATTTGAGGTTCCCAAAGAAGATTTTATTAAGCCTGATGATTCAATGGAGTCAAAAATTGTAATTAATGATGTAGATAAAGATAATGAAGCTTCAAATTTAGTTAAAGTCCCAGAAATAAGCGACCAAACTGCAAGTTCTGACAAATTATTGCAAGAATCAAAGGAAAAGTTAGAAGCTATGGCTCAAAAAGATTCCAAATCTGAAGATTCAAGCGTCGATGATCAAAAAACTGATACTTCAAGCAAGAGTAAAACTTCTCTATTGCAAGTTGAAGAATCTTTGTCACCTGTAGGCCAAAGCAGTCGTCGTTCTTCACAAGTGGTGATTTCTCGAGAAACTTCATTTTTAAACTCTCCTAAAAGATTGTCTATAGATGATGGAAAGGTGGATGATAAGCAAGATCCCTCGCAAGAAGCAGTTCCAGAGCCAGAAATTTCAAAGCCAGAAATTCCAGTTGCTGATAAGCAGCCCGAGTTTCCTAGCCACGATAATACATTACTGGCAAGTGAACAACCCCAATCGATTGAGGGTGCGACGGAACAGCTGGAATCTAGCTTACCTTTTGAGGACAATGACAAGCATGAGCATTCAGACTCGACATTAGATGCATTAGACGAGGACAGTGATGTGTCCAGCGAATCTTCAACCAAAACGGCATTTATCGCCCGTCCTTATGGAACTCCTCGTCATCGGCGCTTGGTAAGAATGGACCAGGTTGATGGTGATGGGAACCAGCTTTCTGAAAAAAAAATAGAATCAGCGGAGCTTGATAATGAAGAAATATTGGAAGTGTCTTTGGAGCAGAATCAAATGATTGGTAGAACTGTTGGTGAAGATAAGCAAAAAGAAGACGAAGAATTGGTGGAAAAAGTAGAAAAAGTTACGGAAAAACTTGTTGAAGCTAAAGAAGAAGTTACTAATGAATTGAAAGCTTCGAAAGGAAATTTTGATGGTAAAGAAGAGATAGTTGAAGAGGTGAAGGATTCTAAGGATTATAAGGGAGTTTCAAGTACTTTAGAAGCAAGTGGAAGTAAATCGGTTAAAAGGCCGGAAGTTAAGCCTGATGATTTGAAACCGCAAGAGGAGCCAGAAAAGGTAGAACTAAATTTAAAAATTGACAATGAAAAATTAGATGTTGATTCCTCTTCTCTTACAGATCAGCTGGAATCAATAAAAGACAGAGGAGAGGAGACTAGCAAAAGGTTGCTGGTGAAAGGAGAGATGAAAAGTGATGGGTTGAAAGTACTTAATACGACTTTGGAAGATGCTAAGCCAAATCAAGTGATGAAGCGGAAACCTGTGGCCAAAAATCTGGATGATAAGGGAAAAACTCAAGTTTCTAAGCAGAAAGCTAAGACTGTTGTTAAAATAATACCGCTGTCAAAAGGGTCGAGTGTTAAGTTGCCGCAGAAGGAGAAACTAATAAGAGTTAAGGATAAAGGTGAATTGGTGAAGCCATCTGTAGAGAAAATGTCTGTAGATAAAAAAATCAGGATTAAAGAGAGTAAACGGATGTCTAAAAGTGAAGAATTTAAATCTCCGGTAGAGTCTAAGGAGAAATTGGTCGTTAATCGAGTGAAGCGGCAGAAACGAGTGGAGCATGACAAAACTGTCCAACCGGAAATATTAGATGATAAAAAGAGTAATAAAGTTTTTAATGAAAGTAAAGTAAAGGAGAAAAGTGAAGATAAAGAGGTGGAGAAGAAAAATAGAGATAAAATTGAGAAAGTCTTGGAGAAAGAATCTTTGAAAGAGCAGCAAAATTTAACGAAAGAAGAAATAGCTGGCTTAGAAAAAAGTGGTGATGTTAAGATGAAGCCTTTAGTTGAAGTTTTTGTTCAAAAGGATGAAGAAAATGCGAAGAAAAGTAAAGAAATTGAGATGAAAAATAAAGATACTTTGAAAGAAGAGTCAATTGTTGAGAAAAATGGTAAGAATGATGGTATTAAAGAAGAAAAAGTAGTCATGAAAGAAGTAGACAAAGAAGTACAAGTTAAAGTAATTGATGAGCCAGTACGTGGTATGATTAAGGAGGCTTCAAAAATAGATCAAGTTGCAAAAGATGAAGGAGTTATGACAACTATAGAAGAGAAAAAAGAAGAAATATTAACTGAATCTTCAGAAAAGAGCGAATTAAGTTCTGAAGGGATGAAAGAAGAGTCCAAATTGCCTTCTCATGATCAAAAACAAAGAGACAGGTCTCTGAGTCCAAGCAAAGTGAGTAAATACGCTAAAGAAGATTACACCGAAGCCCAATCGCGTTACATGGAGTGGTACAAGCAAAATCGCGAAGAAGCCGAGCGCCGGAAGCTGGAAAAAAAGGAGGGAGAGGAAGAAGATCAGCCGCCAAAATGGCTGAGGAAAAGTACGCGTCAGAGGTGGCTCAAAATGAGTCCAGAGGACAGGAAGTTTTTTGAAGTGAGGACTCCGGAGGTGACGCCGTTGACTCGTCGAAGGATCAAGCCTCTGGTGAACATAGAGTCGGAACAACTGAAGGCGATTGTTCGGCAGGGAAGAAAACTCCGCAGAGCTGAAGGGGAGAAGAATCTTGATCCTCCTATAGAAATATTTGTCCCCGAAAAACCTCCAGTTCTTCAACAACAGCAGCAGCAACAACAACCAAAGTACCATTACCTTCTCCAGCATTCGGAGTATCAGTACCAACGTATGCCGCCGCCATTTTACCTTCACCCACCACCAGTTCCTCATCCGACGCCGCAGATCTCGCCACAGCGGTTTGAAGCTTGTCCGGAGGCATTTTCTGCGAATTTAGAGCCTCATCTTCATGAACCAGTGTCTGGAGTTGGATCTTCTTTGCAGACTGGAACGAGATTGCGGCATCAACAGCTTCTTGAGAAGAAAAGTGTGTTTGATATTGCTTACGACGAAGCAGCGCCTTCTCATTTACGTGCCGACAGTACTACTCCGCCATCGTAATTATTTTATTAAAATAATTATTATGCTAATGAAAAAATTTATTTGATTCAAGAGAAAAAAATCTTGAATTAAGAATATTATTTTGAAGTTTAATTAATTTACACGAGTAACCTTGCAGTCACTATGTGACTGTCGTGACTTATCAATCATAATTAAATCAAATTTTGCTTTATTAAATAATGACTTTTGTTAAATTACACTGTACTTTTTTAGCTACTGATGTTTATAAAGATATAAGCTCATCCCGATGTTACACTCGTCAAAACCTTTCATTTGAGTACCCACATCAATTTTTCATATATTTTATATATATTATATATATGTATATATGAAAAATATATGAAAATGCATGTGGGTACTCAAATGAAAAATCTCGATGAGTGTAATGTCAGGGTGAGCTTATATCTTCAAAAATTTCAATAGTTCACAAGATACAAGATAATTTCTTAATTAAAATCAATTTTTTGCTTAAAAAATTTTTTTGGACTAAAATTCTTCAATGCAGAACTAATTTTCGATTCAAAAAAATTTTCCTGATTTTAATACAATTTCTTTTTACTTAAAACTAACTTAGGTAATGTTTTTGGGTCAAAATTTTTTCTCGTGAATCAAATGGATTTTTTATTAGTGTATACAACTATAAATATATCGTATAAAGTAATTTTTTTGAATCATGATGTCTACCGTGGAACGGAAATTTACATCACTGCCTTAAAATTGAATCATCGTATCGATGAAAACAAATAAAATAGCTAATAAAAATTGTTTATATTAACCTTGTAAATAAATAAATAAAAAAATCTAAATATATCTATAAAAATATTGACAATTATTTAAAGAGTTAAAACCTCATTCCAAGACCTAGAGTACATTTCTTCCATTTCTGCTTTTCTGTTAGAAGAATATCCTCGTTCTCAACTTTACCCACTATTTGTTATCAAATCGCTCTGCGGGCAAATACCCGGCGATAATTCTTCACCGTCGATAATTCTACCTCACTAAATTAAACTATAAATATTACTTTAAGTTTTATAAATAAAATATTTAATGTTAAGACTAAAATTTATTTAATTAAAAAAAAAAAAAACATCTTTTAATTAAAAAATAAATTATGAAACAATTTAAAGAGCGATATCAGCAATTTCTGGAATAAATACTTACACCCAGACAGATCGATAAGCTGTGCTGCGTTCTTCCACTCATATCATCCTTGTAGAACAGTCAGCAGCTAGCGCTTGGTTAAAAAAATGTCTGCGAATCCGAATAGGCATGCGAAATACTAGACCTACGTCACTAGTAGTGACGTTGAAACCCGTGACGCATTAGATGCAACTAACCTACCGTAATCAAAGGGATAATGGTGCATCAAACATAACCGAAGTCGGGTAAATCCTAATATAAGGATTGCAGGAATATAAAAGAGCAGATTCGTGATAAAGCGCAGCAAATTATTTGCGAATTTTATTCACATACAGACTTACACACTGAGCCGGTGGTTTGCAAAAAGTATAACGTGCAAATCTCCCTTTGTTATTCATATTCTCCTGGTACAAACTCACGCCAATGGCCGGCCGTTTGTTGGCAACAACTGCGACCAGAGGCAACCTAAAAAACAACAAGTGAAATATACTCCACCCACCAATTAACTTTTTATTCTCTCAATTTACTAATTAATTTTTTTTTTCAATTTTTTTCTTCTTTCCTTACAATAATAACATTAATTTCTTCAGTGTTGAAAGAAAATAATTACACCCGGTATTTTTTTAACGGAATAAATTACTGGGTAAAAAAATTACCGTACTATTTTTTTTATAAAATTGTATATTGTTATAAATTTTACCGAAAAATTTTTATTTTTATTTTACCGATAATTTTAGCGAGTGAGAAGAAATAAAAAAAAAATAATTTATTTGGGAAGAAATGTAAATTAATTTATGGCCGCTTGAGTGGATAATTGGGGAACAGTAAGTGCTAATTGAATATTAATGATGCTAATAAATAGGTAACCGTTTGCAGAGTATAATTTCCTGATGAATTTCCATGCAGAGTACGAGTCGATTGCAGAATGTACCCACTTAAAGTAATAGTGTTTAATTAAAATAACTTTATTATAGCAAAAAGTGCCGGTGGATAAACAATGTATGAATGTTAATTGTTGTTAATAAAGAGCGGTGTATGTTGCTTGGGGAGCGGAAAACAGCGGAGCGAAGAGCCAGCCTCAGTATCAACGAGAGATGCAAGCTCACCTGAATTTTGCAATCGTTCGCGAGTCTCTCACATTTTCCTCCTCCTCCCAATAGTCGATGAACCTCCTTCTTTTTTCAGCTTCGCTCTTTTAAACCAGCCAATTCTCCGCCTTTATAAGTGCTAGCTCTTTTGCCATTCGATCAGAGAATTCAATGAACGTCTAGACGATCAAGTTGCGGTAATTAAACAAGCAACCTTGCACTATGTGACTGCCCTGACTTGTGAACTATGAATAAATAAAATTTTGCTTTATTAAATAATGACTTTTGTTAAATTGTACTTTAATTTTTTAACTATTGACATTTTTAAAGATATAAGCTCATCCCGATATTACACTCATCAAGAGCTTTCATTTGAGTACCCACATGCATTTTGATATATTTTTCATATATACATATATATATAAATATATAAAATATATGAAAAATTAATGTGGGTATTCAAATGAAAGGTCTTGATGAGTGTGTAACATCGGGATGAGCTTATATCTTTAAAAATGTCAATAGATCACAAGATAAAAAGGGTCATTTCTTAATTATGTTAAATTGCACTGTACTTTCTTAAATTAAATATTGACGTTTTTAAAGATATAAGCTCATCCCGATGTTACACTCATCAAGAGCTTTCATTTGAATACCCACATCATTTTTTTGTCAATAGATCACAAGATAAAAAGGGTCATTTCTTAATTATGTTAAATTGCACTGTACTTTCTTAAATTAAATATTGACGTTTTTAAAGATATAAGCTCATCCCGATGTTACACTCATCAAGAGCTTTCATTTGAGTACCCACATGCATTTTGATAAATTTTTCATATATACATATATATAATATATATAAATATATGAAAAATTGATGTGGGTACTCAAATGAAAGGTCTTAATGAGTGTAACATCGGGATGAGCTTATATCTTTAAAAACGTCAATAGTTCACAAGAGAAAGGGTTATTTCTTAACTATATATCTAGAGATAGAGCATTTTCGAATGCAGCCTAAATACTTATCATCATAAATTGACTATTGGTGAGAATGATGTGAAACCTTGAAAAAGCACATTTTATCATATAAATACACTGTCCACTAAATTTTGATTGTTGTCTTAATAATATAGATTAATAATCTTATTGCAAGTGTGTCTCATTAAATCACACTTGGAAAATAAAATGCAGAGTTAGAGCCTCGGGATTGAGGGCCCGGGTCTGAAGAATATTTTTTTTCTTGCTCTGGAAAGATTGGTTGGAGTCAGCTGGAAGATTAAAATAAAAGTCTTTGATTAATAGAAAAATTCTGATGAAAAGAAGAAATAAAATTGAAATTATTGGGAGGAAAATAATGACCGGGGGAAGTTCGGCGAAGCTACGCTCCTGTGTTTGGATTGAGCATGAGATAACAGATCAAGATGCAGTTTGACGGTATAGATTGGTAATGTAGTCAGAAAAAATAAAAATGAAAAGCGGAACGGATAATGGGGTAGCAGTGGGATGAGTTGGCCCACCGGGTAATAGCCATCAATCATCGCCAAATTTTGGCAACGCGTTGGACAACGCTGACGGCAGGGTACCATCATCAAAGTAGAGTTCTCCGGGTCCACGAGGATGGCGAGGAAGGCCGCGGGGTAGAGGAATTCCTCGTTCGATACGCCCGAAAACGAGGGCCTCGCCCGGTTTAAGCCACTACGCTTTTAGCTCAAGAGAGTATTATGTGTAGGCTTATTTAGCTTCTAGTCGCTTTTAGCTTTCACGCGCTCGAGCGGTCACTTTATACTTTAAGATCTGTTCAACAAAGAAATTTAATTTAATTTTTTTTTACACTCATTAATTGTAATTAATAAAAAAAAAATATCAATTTTTTTAATAATAAAATTCTTTTAATAAACGATAGAATTGCTTTTAATTATTATTATCAAAATAAAATAAGATTTCTTTGAAATACTTAAAAGTATTTTTTACACAAGCACATAGTAATTTTTTTTCAGAAATTTATTACAGGTCTTTAAACTGACCAATGGAAAGGTTAAATGACCCGAGTGTCAAAGTGTCATACAGGTATTATTCACCTGTATGGATCAAACGGCTGGATTATAATTAAGTACCTCTGTTATTAAAGTCGACACATTTCCTGGAGATTTATGTCTTTAATTAAAATGTACCTAGAGTGTAAGGTACGAAAGAAAATTATACCCGTAATAGCTTTAATGACTTCATTAACAAATCATGTTAATTTGCGGGTAACATACGTCATTAAAAGATTAAACAGAAATTTTGATCAGTTTGTAACAAAGAGACTTCCGTCTGGAGTTATATTAGAATTTATCAGTGTACATTCAACCATTGAAATTGAAACATCTCTTGATATATATTTCAATTGATAATTTATAGCGCAAAATTTTTTAACTTAAATTTCCAGATTTGAATTTTACTTCTTACAAAATTAAAATAAAATTGATTAAAAATGTCTTGAAAAATTACCAGCAAATTCAATTATTTAGTGATAATTAAAAATAAATTCAATTCATTTTTTGTAAATAGAAAAATTGAAGCGTAAGTTTTAATATTTTCAAATCTATATTAGTAAATAAAATTATTAATATTATTTTTTTCAGATTTTTGTAAGTATGTTTAAAAAAAATGACCGGTCAGAATTTGAATCTTTTGTAGACGACCTTCACAATTTTTTGAGTCACGTTAAATTTTGGAAAAACAGTGCAGCAACAGTCAGCCAAAGAATATTCGACATTTCTGTCAATGTAACAATGTTAACTTTAAGTATTCTGCTAATTATTTCGGAAACTCTTGACATTAAGAACAGCTACGACTTGACGAGTTCCGCCGCGCATATAAACCCAATTTGCTTCCACTTGAACGGGTTGCTCAAGTGGTGCTTCGGGTTGATTAAGTTGAATGATATCGAGGAGATTCTGGCTAAAATGAAACGTTGCCACAGGCTTTGTTTGAACTATACCGACAGTGAAAAAGGTACTACCTAAAATATTGAAAAGTATTTTAGTATTTTTGAAACATTTTTGTAGAAATTCATCGATATAATTTGAGAATGTTGGAGTACAAGCAAAATGTGATTAAGTTTGTGTACATTTGGCTTATTCTTCTTGTCTACGGAGTCAATCAGTGGTGCCTGGACCCGATAATGAAAGACCTGTATCACAATTTGTACGGCCAAAAGATGATAAATTCAAGCTTTGACAGACACTTACCCTACCCTGGACTGTTTCCTTGGCATGTTGATAATTTTTCAAAGTATGTAATGACTTTTGGATTTCAGTATGTTAGCGCGATTGCCGCGGCTCTTGAAATAGCGGGTTATGATATCCTTAATGTAATTCTTTTGGTTAATGTTTACTACAATTTGGAGCATTTAAATGAGAGTTTATTCAAAAATACGGACAATTTATCAATAGTCAGGTACAAATAAAAATATTTATTTTATTTTGAATCGTTGGAAAAATTTTTGAGCCAACACAAGTTAGTTCAAAAATTGTTTAGTTAAAAACAATAAATTTCTTCAAAAAAATATTAAATCAAATTTATTTGTTCATTAATTTAAGCAACGATTATTTTCCAAATTTTTACAGAAATGACATTGATGTTCACAAAGCAAGAACGAAGTTGAAGATGTACTTGATGCATCATCGAGAGATTTCTGAGTAAGGTTATATATAACTTGTAATTTATTAATTTTATCAACAATTTTTTCAATCTTCAAATTATAGAGTGAATAATTTTTAGATTTGTTGAAAAATTGAAAAAAGTATCGAGCTATCCGATGTTCATACTTTGTTTAGACAGTACTATTGCTTTGTGTCTAGTCTCTTTAGAAGCATCTGCGATGAAAATTGATGTAAATAATTTAACTTATCAATATTTGAAAATTTGATTTTTATTAATTCAAATAAACTGTTGAAATAAAATTTCATAGTCGAGTGTCGAGTGCATTATGAAGATTATGAATATGGGGATATATTGGATAGGCATTGCTTTGCAATTGTTTATTTTTACATTTCTAGCGTCTTCAATTGAAGAATTGGTTTGTTAAATTTTCAATTTATTCTCACTTATAACCCACCAAAAATTATAAATTAAAAAATAAAAAAATACGCAAGTAATTTTGAACTTTTCAGGGATTACAAACTGCAGATGCAATTTATTCTTGCAACTGGGAGCGATCTGTAGTTGAATATAGAGGCGAATCCACTGTCGAACACAAACGCGTAATAGTCGAAGTAAATCAATTGATAACTTTTAGTTTGATGCGCGCTCAAAAACCGATTGTTTTCATGGGAGGAAAATTTTACATTCTGTCTTTGCAAACTTTCAAAGCCGTTAGTTTTATTTTTTTTTCAAACTTTAACACCACAATTAATTTAAAATTAATTCAATTGAAATTCCACTTTACAGCTCACAGGATTTTCTTTATCCAATGCCGTTGTACTGCGCCAACTTTCCAGCGAAGAGTAAAAAATACAACACTGAAATAAACAAAATTTACTGTCAAAAAATTTTTTTTTTATAATTAATTTTTTCTGTGATAGAAATTTCATCAAACATTAGCAGAAAATAGTTGTTTTGATTATTAAACACTTTTGTTGTATTGATAAGAGATTATTGCATAAATTGCTTTGTTTTATACACTTATTAAATAGATAAGTCCTATTTTTTACTAATGTTTTAGATAAAAAAAATATTAAGGATGCTAATATGTCATTGATTATATAAATATTTTGCAATAGTAACTCACTAATGTCAGTATTCTTTCTTTAGATACTACTCAGTCTTCTGAGTCTTCTATAATTCCATTTTTTCTATCAAAAAAAATTTTTTATTAATTTTGAAATTAGAAAAAACTTTTTTTTAAATTTAATTTCTATTGAAAATATTTTTAATTAATTAAAAAAAAAATTATTAACGAAGAACTTCTTGTTACTTAAGTACTAAAGAAGAAACTAAACGACTCTCTACACTGAAAATGTCTCAATAACAGTCTCGGTCTTCTGAGTCTTCTATAATTCCATTTTTTTTCTATTAAAAAAAATTTTTTATAAATTTAAAAAGAATTTTTTTCAATTTAATTTCAATTAAAAATTTTTTTAATGAATTAAAAAAAAAGAATTAAATTATTAACAAAGAACGTCTTGCTACTTAAGTACTAAAGAAGGAACTAAACGACCCTCTTCACTGACAATGTCTCAATAACAGTCTATAATTTTGTAATTTAGATTAATATCGGCAATTCGTGACAAAGTCCTCCCCCATTGCAATATTACCTTATCAAATATTCTGTTTGTACATTAATATGTGTCCCTCTATATCACACGCAGCTCAATTCTTAGAACAGAATTTCCCCGACAAAGTGTCGTATCATTATATCATTATATTAAATCGTACTGTACAAATTTTGAAGCATATTATTATTATAGTTCGTAATGACTTTGAAAGTTTCGTAAAAAAGTGTAAAGTCAAAAATCGTTAGAACAAAGCTAGAGAGGTCTTTGACTAGAGGTCAAAGTTGCGCACTTTGTCAGTCTTGATCCAAAAGCCGAAATGGAATAATCTCAAAATGTCTTTTATAAATGAAGGATCTACAAATGTAAGTTTGTAATTAATTAATTGATAACAATAATAATTATCAGTTATTTTGCAGCGTGTAAGTATCACATTCTATCGAGCTGTATGGAAATAAATGACGTAATTTAAAAGAAAAAAAAATTGTAATTGTACATTCATACGTAAGTATCAAGTACACGGAATTTTTTGTGTACATTGAAATTGTGTATGACGTAACGTACGTAATTGTCGAGTGTACATTTATCAGGAGTATATGTAAGATAAGATGTGAAATTGGTAGTGCAAGTACTTACGGTACTTTTTTTGCTTTACTTAGGTGGTTACGAGAGAAGGTACTCTGGGCGCTGAACAAGAAAGTATATACGAAACCTCTTTTATAATCTCAATTGTACCAACAGAGTACGCGCTGATAAAAAAAATTTATTTCAGAGAAAAATAATTATAAAAAATTTTTATTGTCTTTTTTAAAAAATTATTTAAGTCAAATTTTGAGTTCCAAAATTTTTTACTTGATTCAAAATTAATTTTTTTCTATTAAATCAAATTAATTTTTTTATCAATGTAATAGTATTGCAAAAATAAATTTTTGACAATTTTTAAAACTAAATTTTATTGACAGTATTTTCAATGTGATTACTTATTCAAAATTTCAAAAAAAAAAACTTTAAAGAAATTTAGTTTTTAAAATCAAGGCAAAAAATTCTTGAATCATGTAAAATTTATTTAAAGCTTGTTATAATTTATTCATTAAATTATAACTAAAAATTATATTTTTTAAATTGCTCTTGAAGTTTTTAAAGTTTTTTACAAATTAAAATTTTTATATTATTTTAAAAAATTTTGATTGTATTTTTTAAAAAATTATCCAAGTCAAAAACAATTTTTTTGCTTGAAAATTTTTTACTTGATTTAAAATCAAGTTTTTGGTTCAACATTTTTTCTATTAAATCAAGTTAATCTTTTTTATCAGTGTAAATAAATTTTTGACTATGTTTAAAATTTTTTAATTTTTAAACTACAAAATAATTGTTATATTTTTCAGTTTGAACATTTAAAAATTTTTTAGGTTCAAAACTAGGTTGGATAAATAACCGAATGGACTTTGAAGACTTTATTGACAGGATTTTCAATGCAATTACTTATTTAAAATTTTGGAAAAAAAATTTCTCATCTCTTAACAAAGATATAGTAAACACTGCTCTGAATATAACATTGTTAACTTTAGCCGTGCTGATCTGTGCTTCGGAAGCAATTGGAATCATAGGCACTAACAACCTTACGAGTTTTGGAGTTTGTACGTGCCAATTTTTGTACCACTTTTCTGGATTGTGCAAGTGGGTAATTATGATTTTGAAATTAGATGATGTTAAAAATATTCTCATAAGAATCAAACGCTGTCATGAAATCTGCCTAAGTTACATTGAAACTCAAAAAGGTATTCTTATTTTAATAATTACAAATTATAATTTTTTGATCAGTGATTGTTTTATTAATTTTCCGATCTATTATTGTAGAATTTTTTGAGTACAACCAGAAAATTCAAAAGCTTCAAAGCAACGTGATAATGTTTGCCAAACTTTGGTTTCTTCTTTGTATCTGTGGAACATTTGAGTGGTGTTTGAATCCTCTTATTTATGACTGTTACAACATTTATATTTTAAAAATTCCAACTACCAATTACACACGAAGCTTGCCTTATGAAGCATTTTTTCCGTGGAAGATTGACACCAATAAGAAATATATTATGACATTTGCATTTCAGCTTATAAGCGCAATTGCCACGTCTGCTGGAATGGTCATTAGCGATGCCTTGAATGTTATTTTTTTAGCTAACATATCGTTCAATCTTGAATTTTTGAACATTACTTTAGTTAAAGAAAATAAAAATTTTGCTATTTTGAGGTAAATTAACCAAAATTCCGTCAATTTCTTTTTTGCTTCAACAAATTATTTTGTTTTTCAGATTTTCCGATAGTGATATGGCAATAAAAAAATTTAAAAGTAAATTACGGACTTGTTTAATTCACCACCGAGAAATTTTAGAGTATGTTTTTTTATTTTTTCAAATTAAAATAGTAATTTATGTCATATGGCCGCAAAGTCGCGATTTTCTGACAACGACGATGTTACGATATGAGCTTAAGGTTCGTGGCGGGAATGTACGAAAACGGGCGTAATTTTAACTCGTTTTCGTAAATTCGCGTCATAAACTTTAAAGCGAATGTTGTAAAATCGTCGTTGTCAAAATCACCAGTTAGTGGCCAAATGACATATACATTATTTTTTGTCATTATTGCTTCGTAATTTAAACTTTCGAGGAATAGGTGGCAAATAATTACGTCTAAATTTTATTAAATTTGGCGTTGTTGTTATTTTATTAACATTAGAATCTCTTTGCAATAAACTGTCAACAGATAAATAATCAGCGCCACTAAATAGTAACTAAGAATAAAATTTACTAAAACTCTGCAGTCGGTACACTAAAATTTTATTTATTTCGTTCTTAATTTCATCCCATTGTACACGGAAAGAAAATTGAAGGAATTTTTATTAAATTAAATAGTAACGGTGGACTATACTTCTCATTTAGTAATTTTTACGATCTACTATTGTAAATTTTATCCAACAAACAAGGCTAGTAAGAAACTTAAAAAGTCGAATAATATAGAGCAAATTATAGAGAGATAGGAGGTTGGACTAATTGGTGCCTTTACAGTAACCGAAAAAAGAAATCAGAATTTTTGTCCTGTCCGGGAACCGAACCCAGAAATCTTTGTTGGCAGCCAGAGACTCTCCCTTTACGCTATCCAAGGTAAACTAGTACCTATCACTCACACTAATTGAGAAACATTCCAATTCAACTATTGTAAAATTTTTTATAGTTCTATTGGAAAGATACAGAGGCAGCACTGGAAATTTTAATCTCTTACTTTTTACAATAGTAAGTTATAAAATTTCATGAATAAATAGTAAATTATCTTCTAAAATATTTGAAAATTAATAGTAATAAAAATATAGTCCAGCTTTACAATAGTTGTATCGTAAATTTTTCCAGAGTTTTTTTTCCGTGTAGGCCGCGGAAAAAGGCGGTATGGTAGAGACTCTAGAAATGAGTATCTTTTCGGACGCCACCCAGCGCTCGAAAGTTGAACTTTCGAAGCAAATATGACAATAGTATATTTAATATATAATACAATTTTCAGGTTTGTCGATCAATTGAATAATTTATCCAGCGAATCAGTGTTTATCTTATGCTTCACCGTTACTTTAGCATTGTGTTTAGTTTCGTATGTAATTGCAATGTTTAAAATTGAAGTAATGAAAATTTTCCATCTCTGTCAATAAAAAAATTTTCTAATATGGCCTATACAACAAAAATTTGCCATACCAAGAAATATATGAGCTCATAAGTTCATATTAGAATATATTTCGCTTGAAATCACTTGATATACCTGTATAAAATTTTTCCACTAACATTAGTGTTGAAAATATCCGATAGGTGACGCATGGTCGCTAAATCTTCTCAATAAAAGAGAGTTAAATTCGAAATATATAACTTATAAAATAAAAATCATTTTTTGACTTCTTAGAAGAGGTTATGAATTTTAATTTTATATTTTTGATTAATATAAAACGATAATTGGCATATAAATTAAAAACAAAAAAAATAATAATTTTTTATTCTCACATATGGCCATATCAAAAAATTTTTCACGAAAAAAACATCAATTTTTTCAATAAATATTTTATAAAAATTAAAAATTACAGCCAACTATAGAATGTGTTGTGCAATTAATAAGTATAGTAGAATTCTGGTTTGCAGTCACCGTGGACTTATTTTTGTTTTCATTTCTCGCCACAAGAATCGAAGAACGGGTGAATGTTTATCAACAACAAACATTTAATTTGGTACCTTAGCTCTTAATTATCCTTTTTGATCAAAAAAGGGACTGACAACTGCAGATGCGATTTATGCGTGCAATTGGGAGCAATCGATGATCAACTACGATGGCGACTTCACTGGGGATCATCGTCAAACGATCCTCGATATTAATCAAATGATCAGCTTCAGCTTGATGCGGGCTCAAAAACCAATTACTTTTCAGGGAGGACTTTTTTATGTTCTTTCTCTAGAAACATTCAAAGCTGTAAGTTTTATATCAATTAATATTGATCATTTTGATGAATGAAATTTTGGATTTTATTTTTTCAGCTTACGGGATTTTCGTTGTCAAACGCTGTAGTGCTTCGACAACTTTCTGAAGAAACATAGAATTTATTTATCAACACATATGTACTAAATAAAAATTATTTATCAAGCTGTATTAATTTTTATAAATTAATTCAATTGCTTTTAATTGATAATTTTATTTTTTTTAGCATCAAAAATCAGTCAAAAATATTTCTAATGACAAAAACAATTAAATAATTTATTTTATATACAATAACGTATTTGAAAACACAATCTTACCAGCAAGCGCCTTCGTAACTTTCCTCCTCGGATATATTAATTCCTATTCCACGTTTCATATTTGCATTTTTTATTTTTTTCTTTACGTACGCTCAACACTTGATAAATTCATTTAAATTCTCATTAAGTTTATTTTTCATCTGAAACAATTATATAATAATTATAAATTATAAAATCTTATCTTACTATTACACAACATTAAAAATCTTAATAAAATAATTGCGTAAAAATATATACAAAGATATTCTGATGAAAGTAACTAAAGCTCGCTGACTAGATTTTTAGTGATATAGAAAATTTCCTGTCATATTTCTATTTTTACCAATAATAATTTTCTCCCTATAAGAAACTTTGTAGCAAATGATATTTAATTTTTGCCGTCAAAAAATGACTCTATCATTATATTATGCCGCATAAAGTTCTATAGGTAAATTACAGTATTACTCTATTATTCAGAAGTTTTCGAGTAAATTACTCTTAGTATTAACTTAATGCTTTACTATTAAATAATAAGACCCTTTGATCAGACAATGAAACTTTCTAGAAGTCTTCAACTTATCAAATTATACCTTTACTTATTCTTACTATAATATCAGAGTAAAACTTTTGCAGAGTTTCGACTTACAAGGAAGCATTTTTAAAAATTTTTTCGTGGGTCGGTGAACTCTCAAGGTTGTACACTCTGTCAGTCTTGTTACAGCCACGCACGAACACTCTTCAAAATTTGTTAAATTATTTATAATTTTTTTAAATAAAATTTAACAATTTTATTAAAAAAGAAAAATTAAAATATTTATTTTTTAATTATTAATTTTTATTATAAATATAATTGTAATTTTACCCCTGTGAAAAAAAAGTTCAATTGCTAAGTACACGCAATAGTTGTAAGTGTACAGAGAATTTCAAACGTGTATGACGTAATGTACGTAATTGTCGAGTGTACATTTATCAGGAGTATATGTACGACAAGGCGCGAAATCGGTAGTGCAAGTACTTACGGTACTTTTCTTATTTTACTTACATGGATACAGAAGAAGGTAAGATGAATAAAAAGGGAAGAAAAAATTTTTACACTCGCGAAAAATAAATCATACATTTTTTAGACTCGCAAATGAACTGGAAAAATTCTTCCCTGGATTATGAGCAATTTATAGACAATATTTTGAACGCTATTGGTCACATAAAATTTTGGAAAAGAAATTCGACTTTATCAAGGCCTAAAAACCTGATAAATATCTTTTTAAATGTAACTTTATTGACTTTGAGCTCTTTGCTTGTCATTTCCGAGACAATTGCAATAAAAAAAAGCTATGACTTGACGAGTTTTGCAGCTAATTTGAACCCTGTTTTATTTCATTCAATTGGATTGTTCAAATGGATCTTCATGATCATCAAAATGAACGACATTGAGGACATTCTTGTGAGAATGAAGCGTTGCCACAGGATTTGTCACACCTACAACGAAACGGAAGAAGGTAGATTCGAAATATTTCAACAGGTTATGGGCCCGTTTTTTTATAAATTTATTTTAAATTCCAGACTTTTATCAGTACACTACCAAACTGATGAATTATAAGGACAAAATGATGAAATTTACAAGAATTTGGTTCTTTATTTGTCTCTCTGGAGTCGCTCAGTGGTGCTTGAACCCCGTCGTTTATGATTATTACAATATTCATGTCGTAAAAGTCACTGATGAAAATTACACGAGAAACTTGCCCTATCCGGGAACATATCCGTGGATTATTGACAGTAATTCCAAATACATTTTGACTTTTGTTTTTCAGCTCACCAGCGCACTGACTACGTCTATTGAAATGGCGACTAGTGATATATTAAATGTCATTTTTTTGGTTAATATATCACTTAATCTTCAACTTTTGAATGAGAGTTTAGTTAAAGAGAAAGATAATTTAATTATTTTGAGGTAATAGATCCAAATTTTGACTGCAATAATCTTTAATTGCAAAATACAGTAACTGCATTTTTTTTTTTAATCTTTACTGTCTTTTTATTACTTCAAAAATAAATTTTTTAATCATTTCTTCTGTGGAAAAATTTAATTTTTTATTTATTTAAAGCAGAAAAAATTTTAAAAAAAAATCAATTACAGTATTTTGAACTGTAAAAATTGTAATAATAACAATAACAATAATTCCATATTTTTTAGATCCGCTAATCATGAATTATCAGCTCAAAAATTCAAAAAGAAATTAAGAAACTGTTTGCTGCATCACCGAGAAATATTATTGTGTGTTATGTAAAAAAAGAAAAATTTGTTAATAATTTTTACCAAAATTTTACCAAACTTTCAGATTGGTCAACAAATTCAAAATCGTATCTAGTTACTCAGTTTTTTTACTGTGCTTCGACAGTACAGTGGCTCTTTGTTTGATTTCTTTGGAAGTTTCGACTATTGAGATTAATGTAAGAAATTACGCGAAAGTTTAAAAAAAATCAAAAATATAAACACAGTTTAATTAATCTAGTCCAGCATTGAATGTATAATGAAATTAATGAGCATGGCGGAATACTGGTCAGGAGTCACTGTAGAATTGTTCTTATTTTCGTTCCTAGCGACAAGAATCGAAGAATTAGTGAGTTATTTTTCTGTTAAATTTTGAACATTGTCAAAAAAATAAAAATTCTAGGGATTAAAAACTGCAGACGCGATTTACGCTTGCAATTGGGAACAACCGATGGTTAACTACCAAGCCGAATTCAGAGGCGAACATCGACGAACAACAATCCAAATAAATCAGATGATAAAATTTGGCCTAATGTGCGCTCAAAAGCCAATTATCTTCAATGGAGGGTTGTTTTATATTTTGTCGGTTCAAACATTTAAAGCTGTAAGTTTTAATTTAGTTGTTAAATTATTTTGAACTTTCAATTATTTTTATTTATTACTTTCAATTAATTTAAATTTGATTTGTTTTTTAAGCTCATGGGATTTTCTATGTCGAATGCTGTGGTATTACGACAACTCTCCGGTGAAACGTAGAATTATTTTTAATTAAATAAATTAATAAAAAAAATTTATGATCTGTATTCTCAAAAAGAATTTAATTTTTTAATTATTGTAAGATTATTTTTAAACTTACCTTATTTTTTATCAATCCTGATGATATAAATTAATTTTCCAATCAGAAAATCCTGTTTTGATCTGGAAAAAATTAATGAGTAACTTCTTGTACACTGAAAAAAAAAATTTAACAAAAATTCTTGAACCAAAAAAATAACTTTGAAAAGTGATCAAGAAAAAAAATTCTTGAATCAAGTAAAATTTATTTAATCCAAAAAAAAAATGTCTTACTTAAAGAATTTTTGTACTCAAATTAAAAAAATGAGGTTCTTCAAAATTATTTAATTAATTCAAGTAAATTTTTTCTACTTAGTGTATAATAATTAATTTTAATTTTAATATTAATGTTCTTAATTAATACTCAATACTTGAAGAAACGAGACCCGCTCTTGAAAGGGGATGAGCTAGAAGTGAGTACGTTCATTATTCCACCTGCAGAAATTACAGAGGGTGCATATATCCCCGTATATTACGAAAGTAAAATGCACTGTTATTAACAGCGAGACATTTCTTAGTAATAAGTAATAATCTTCTTTGATATTTGAAAATTACAGTATCATTATGTCACACATAAACTCTCCTCTAATAACTTTAAACGCTTTAAATAATAGAGGCTTCGATTTCGATCGGACAATTTAAACTTCTCTAGCATGCAATTGTAATATCAAAGGAATACTTCAAACTCATTATCATAATATAAGAGGTCATTGTCTTTCCCAGGGGTCGCGGCTTTACAAAGTGACACTTTGACAGTTGCTCTTCGACCATGAGAGGTAAAACATTCAAAATTTAAAAAGTCTATTATTTTAATAAGCGCGTAAAATCAATTTTATTGACGAAAAGTAAGTAATTTTATCTGTGCAAAATAGAGTTATGTAAATTTTATATTTTTTCACTGCAGATGTTGAACAAAGTGAATCAAAGCGATGACTTTAATGTACTTGTAACACGTATTTTAATTTATTTAAACCGTGTTAAATTTTGGGACAAGAATTCTTTTGAAATATCATTTAAAAAACTGTCAAGCGTTTGTTTTAATGTTAGTTTGATTACTCTAAGCTTTTTTCTGATACTGTCAATAGCTGTCGACATTAAAAACAGTCATGACTTATCAAGCTTCGCTAAATTGGATCCACTTTGCTTTCATTTAATTGGATTTTCCAAGTGGATCACCGGGTTGTTTCATTTAAATGAGATCAAGGACTTAGTTTTGAGAATGAAACGCTGTCACAAGCTTTGTTTGAATTATAATGAAAGTGAAATGGGTATGCTTCTAAAATATTAACTCATCAATTGATAAAAAAAATTATTTAAAATAAATTTACTTTTTAAAATCAAAGAAAAAAATTCTTGAATTAAGTAAAATTTATTTAAATCTTGTTATAATTTTTTGTTTATTAAATTATAACTTAAAATTATTTTTTTTAAATTGCACTTATAGTTTTTCAAGTTTTTTACAAATTAACATTTTGTTTTATATAAAAAAAAAAAAGAGTTTTTAGATGTCGGCTAATTTAATTTTCATTTTTTGTTTGATTTAAAATGATTAAATTTTACAAAATCATTTTCTGGGTTCAAAAATTAATTTTTTTCCTCAATTTATCATTTTTTTTTTTTATTATTATTCTAGACTATCAGCATTATAATACAAAAATAATAAAATTTAACAATTACATGAAGAAATTTACATACTTATGGCTGCTTATTTGCGTCGGAGGAATGATCCAGTGGTGTTTCAATCCAATAATCCAAGATTTTCTCCTCGAACTTTTCGAAGAAAAAAAGATCAATTCTACTAGCTCAAGAACTTTGCCATTTCCGGGAGCGTTTCCGTGGATAATTAACAGCACTCTAAAGTATATTTTGACATTTACTTTTCAGTTTTTCAGTTCGCTTTCAACCGCTTTTGAATTGGCGGTTTTTGACGTGCTGAATGTCATTCTTTTGGCGAACGTCTGCTTTAACTTCCAACATTTGAATGAAATTTTGGCAAAAAATCACGCGGATATCATGATCGTGAGGTACAAGGAAGAAAAATTAAATTTATATTTACATTAAAAACAAAAATTTGAACTTTCAGATTTTCTAGCAGCGACAAATCGACTTTGAAGTTCAAAACAAAGCTGAGAAATTGCATTGTTCACCATCAAGAAGTTTTGATGTATGTCTGAGGCTTGAAAAAAAAAAAAAATTAATAAAAAATAAAAGACTTTTTAAACCATTTTTAGATTTATTGCAAAACTTAAAGATGTTTTCAGCTACCCGATGTTCATAGTTTGTTTAGACAGCACAATTGCATTGTGCTTGGTGTCTTTTGAAGCGTCAACAATTAAAATTAATGTAAATATTCAAATTTTGATTCGGCTGCACTGAGAAAAAATAATAATAGAAGTATTTTTTTTCTCAGTGCAAAGCGCTCTTATTTTAAACGAATTGTAAAAATTTTTGAATATAAATTGAACCAGTCAAGTGTGGAAAGCATCACTAAATTAATAAATATGGTCCAATACTGGATAGGTATTGTCACTGAATTATTTATTTACTGTTTCCTTGCCACGAAAATTGAAGACCTGGTAAGTATTATTCTCCAAAAATTAACTGAATAGATTGAAAAAAAAATGAAGAATAAATTGGAAAAAAAAATTTTAACAGGGTTTGAAAACAGCGGATGCAATTTATGTGTGCAATTGGGAACAATCTATGGTTAATTATCGCGACAATTTTGTTGGAGAACACAGGGATGAAATTTTGGAAATTAACCAGATGGTTAAGTTTAGTATCATGCGAGCTCAAAAGCCTATTATCATCAACGGAGGACTGTTTTATGTTTTATCTCTGCAAACTTTCAAAGCCGTAAGTTTGAAAGTTTGAAAATAAAATTATTTTTGAAAGCTTGATTAATTTTTTTCAACAGCTCGTAGGACTTTCTTTGTCCAATGCAATTGTTCTCCGTCAACTTGCTGAAGAAACATGAGAAAATAATTTTTATTTTAATCATTAATAATTGTTTTTTTTTATTGACAAAAGACAAAATGTAAATCGATAAAAATATAAGTATAAATTTGCTCTTTACCTTGAAAAATATGCCGAGCAAAAAATTAATTGAGTTTGAAGGTAAATAAATAACAAGTCAGTAAATAAATCAACAAGTCTGCGAGTTTCTATCGTTAGTATCCAACATATGCTCATATACATATATTCTTTACAAATTGTTCTGATATAATTTAAGTGTAATTTTTTTTTTAAATACAAAATGTATTTTTTAGTAATTTAATTTCGGTCAAAAAATTATTTTTAAAAATTAAATTAAATATGAATGAAATAGAACTATGTAACTTGCACATATTTGTAATTTTTGAGTACTTAGTTTTTTGGAAAAGAGTCGAAATTTCATTGCGTGAAAAATTAGCAATTTTTAGTGGGATTACAATTGTGTTAATTGCAAATTTTTGGATTATAATCGGAGAAACTGTTGCGATAAAAAACTGCAAAGATTTGACAGGACTTGTGAAACAAATCAACCCGATTTGTTTTCATACTATAGGATTGTTCAAATGTATCTGCATATTTACGAATATTGACGGCATTAATGAGTTAATTAGTCAAAGTTTGTGCTGCGATAGACTGCTCTTGAAATTAAGTCGAAAAAAAACAGGTAATTTTTACGAAAAATTGCACAGTAAAAAATTTTGTGTCAATGCGTCAAAAAATTTTGTGTTAAAAATTTTTATGTTAAATATTTAACACTTTATTATGTTAATTTAACACTTTTCTGCACATGTGTTAATTTAATACAATAAATGTTAAATTTACATATAAAAGTGTTAAATATTTAACACAAAATTTTTTGACGCAATTACGTAAAATTTTTTACTGTGTGTCCAAAAATTAAAAATTGGTTCAAAAATAAATTTATTTTATAGAACTTGATGAATACAAAAAAATAATGACGAATTTTTCCCGGCAAATAAAAAAACTTTCATACACATGGCTGTTTTTTCTGATGTCGACAATGTTTGAGTGGTTTTTAGTCCCACTGTTTCACCTCGTTTACATTCTGGCGTATCAAAAGGACCAAATTGGTCCATCTTTATTTGAAGATCATAAAATAACTATGATTTCACTGCCGTGGAAAATTAATAATTTGCTAAAGTATTTTTTGACTTTTGGATTTCATTTAACCAACGGAGTATTTTCCACTTTGGAACTTTGGTTCAGCGACATGCTACATGTTTTTTTTTTGATTAACATCTGCGTTAATTTAAAATACTTCAACAGGATAATGAAGAAGAAGAATTTTCCTATTAAAAATTTGAAGGAGTTTTTAATAATCCACCGAGAAAATTTTGAGTAAGATAATTTATTTTTTTATTATTTTTTTATTAATTGAATAATTAATTTTTAGGCTTGCTGAAAAAATAAAAGTGATTTTCAGTAATTTATTGCTTATTACCTGTCTTGAATGTATGACTGCTTTGTGCCTGGTATCGGTTGAGACATCAACATTTAAAGTTAATGTAAGATCAAGAATATTTAATATTTAATTAGATTATTGATTGATTTTTTTGTTGATATTTAGTTGAGCTTTCAGTCAATTTTCAGGCTAATCAGCCTTGTGAAGTACTGGATTGGTACATCCATTGAATTATTCATTTTTTGTTACTTGGCGACAGTAATTGACACTCTGGTAAAATAATTAAATTATTCATTTATTTGTAAAGAAACACCCTCGGCAACTTATAATAATATTTTACATTTTCATGTGTAAAATGTTGAGTAATGTTTATATACAATAAATAGAAAAACAAAAAGATAAAAATTTTTAGTAATTTATAATTGATAATAATCACTAATTGCTAGTTTATAATCTATAATTTATAATCAATAATTTATAATCACTATTTGTACATGTACATTGTAAATTAATAACTAAAAATTCAATTTAATTAAACTTCCCAATTTCTTTTTCTATTCTAAATATTCTTTACTTCAATTAAATTAATTTTTAGATAAATTCAAATTTACACAAAAAAAAAAAAAAATAAATTAATAATAAAGGTCAAAATTATCGGCTAAAAATTTTTGTTGGCACAAAAAAATTTTCTTAAAATGATTAATTCTTTATAAATATTTTTTTGAGTGAAAAAATTTTTTTTTCTGCTTAAAAATTTAATTTTTTTTGGGTAAAAATTAATAAAAAATAAGATAAAATTGAATTTTATTATAGAGCACACAATCTGCTGAAGCAATTTACGATTGCAATTGGGAAGAATTAGTTTACAATAACAGTTTCAATAAAAATCGACGGAAAGAAATAATAAAAAAAGGAAAAATGATCAAATTCATGCTGATGCGTTCACAAAAGCACATTATCATGACCGGAAGATTAATTTGCGTTTTTTCTATGCAATCATTTGAAACTGTAAGTTTTTATGAGTCTTTATTTTTTATTCTTCTTTTTTTGATCATAAAAATTTTTTAGATCATTAAATTCTCATTAGCCAACGCTCTGATAGTGCGTCGCTTCGCTATGAAAAGCTGAGTAAATAATTATTAATTAATTGAAAGATTGTTTAGAGATAAAAGTGCTGAGAGGAGAGTAAATCAGGACTCACATGAACTGGTAGAGAAGCTAGTGGGGATCAGAGAAAGTGAACAGTGGACCCCAACGACAACCGTATAAGGAGCGCGCGTAAATATCAGGAGAGTATCCGTTTGTCGAGCATTGCTGAATGCTCCACTTGCGTCATGCTTACTTGATCATACTACCACGTGTTTCGACGAGGTCTTAGTCACAAATTGCTAACAAGTACGCTAGCGGATAATATCTACATACTAGACCATGAGTGCCTAGTATCAATAAGTTTTGTTTGAATTGCACGTGGCGGACTGCCTTATATTAATTCTTTTTTTTATCATTCATTAGCCGCAATAAAAATAGTAGTCACATTGGTTGTAAATTTACGGCTATTTAATTATTTGTTTGCTAATTATTACAGAGTTGTAATATTTTTTTTTTTTTTTACTTTCAATAATAATAAATTTAATAATTAAATTTTTAAAAGAATTTTTCAATAGAAAATTTATGAATAAAATATTTTAAAAATTTATAAATAAAAAAACAATTAATCAATTTTAATTAATAATAAAAAGTAAAATTTTAAATTTGCAAAGTTTTAATTAATAATTGAAATTTAAAAAAATTAATAAAAAAAATAGATAAATTTAATATTTTAATAAATAATAAAATTTTATTAATTAAAAATTTCTTAAAAAAATAAAAATTCTTAACTTAATAATTAGAAAAAAAAAAAAAAAAAAAGTATAATAAAAACATTGACCGCTGGCTGTCTAATAATAAAGTTATGATTTCTACTACAATATGTACGCCTGATAAAGAATTCATGAAATACGGAGTCCTTGTGGAGGCTTCATGTTCCTTATGTATTATAATATGTATACAAATGTGTCTGACATTAGATAAAATGTAATGTCAACTAAAGGGAACTTATTTAATAGGAAAAATATGTAATCGGCCAATCAAAATAACTATTAACTGTAGTATTTAAGCGTATTGACATTAGCCGAGACTCCTCACCTGCCCATCAAAAGACGTAAAGCCATCCACCCCGGCTAACCGAGGATCAGGCGAACATACTTCTCAAGAGCTCTACTAGGCAATAGGTGACCCGCCATTTTTTCGGTGTTACTTACTTTTACTCATGTCATCCTATAATGTATTCGGCGAAATGTGGACGCCTTTCGAGAACATTTTTTTGTTATCATTTTAATGATTATTTATGTCACACTGAAATCAAAAGACATCTGGCAGTTTTTTGGTTTTTTTTTTTTTTTTTTTTTTTTTTTTTTTTTTTTAATAAACTAAATCTAGAAAAAAAATATATTGACAATTTTTGAAATTAATAATTTTCTTTCTATAATTTATTTCTTTAAAAATTATCAAGTCACTCTTAAATTAAGTTTCATATTTTTATTGTTAATAATGAAATAATTAGTTTTATTTTAATCATTTTCTTAATTAGTAAGTTTATTTAATTATTTTTTTACTCTAAAAAATAAAACAAAATTGTTTTAAACTTTTTATTAATATTTAATTTAGGCCTAGGAAAATAAAATTCATAAAAAATATTTTATAAAATACATTTTTATTTTAATTATAATAATATACATATATACACTTTATAAATATGCCATATTTAATTATAGCACACTATTATAATTTTAATTAATTATTTAAATTTAAATTTTGATAATCTAACTTTAAGTTCTAGAAAAAGTATTCGAATATTTTGTTGATACCATGAAATGTTATAATTAAAGTGATTTTTCCAGTTTTTATCCAAGAAATTTTTGTAAAACACTGACATTTCATCAGCTGTTATTGATTTATTCCCATTAGCTTCCAGTTCTTTTTGAAATTCTTTTCTTTCCTAAAATAAAAAATAATTTGTTTTTTAAATAAAATTATTAGCTGTCAGCTGATTGATAAAAAAAAATTAAATAAACAGATTAACTGTAGCATACCTTGATGAACTTGGAGTTATGATCAAACCAAAACTTTTTATTCCAATTCTGAGTTGCTTCTCTAGCTTCACGATAATCTTTTTCTAATTTAGTTTCATTAGATGGTTTAACGAAAATAATTGGCCGTAAATTAGAAACTTCATCCGGCGGTCCAATAATGTCTCTTTCTTGCGATTCATTTTTTAGGTTAGAAGTTTGCTCCTGAAAAATCAACAATTAAAACCTTTACTTTTCACTGTAAAGTCAAAATTAAATAAATATTATTTTTACCAATAAATTTCTCCGTTTGTTATCATAAAAGTAATTCAATTTTTGATAAGTACATAATTTTCTGACGTTTGTAAATTTTACACACTTCATTATCAACTATATACATTTAGTTCAACGCGCAGTTAAATAAGTCACGCGCATGCGCATGCGCACATTCGGAGTTAAAATTAGCGCTCTTGATCGTTTTTTAATTTTACTTAAAAAATAACTTGTTCAATACTTAATTTGTTTTCATTTTAACAAATAATTTGGTTAAAAAAATTATTTTTAAAAATTGCGTTTTTAATTTTTTTTTATAATTTATTTGTTAAAAAAAATTATTAAAATTATCAAAAATTTGCTAATTAATTTTCTTTTATTTTTTAATTTTTAATTATTAAAAAAATATTAAGTAGGGATTTTTAAAAATAAATCAATAAAATATTTATCGTAAAATTGTTTTTAATATTATAATATACATAAGTTTTTATTCCTAAACAATTTTTTTACCTTACTATAAATCAAAATTTCGCTAAATTTTAATTACATAAAAAAAAATAATTATAATTAAATAAATCAAAATTCGCCAAATTTTTGAGCTCTTAATTTATGAGAATTTTTTCAAAAAATCAAATTATCGGAGTTCAATTTTAGTCAAAAAATGTGTCAAGAAATTAATTTTAAGTTACAAAAAATTTTAATATTTAACAGAAAAAAAAAAAATTATATTCTATTCGTCATTAAAATTTATGGAGTTTGAGTAAAGATCTAATGCAATGTATTAAATATTATAAATAACAGAAATTAAATTATTATATAATATATCGACGGTACTTTAGTAAATTATTAAAAATTTTTATCAAAGTACCGTTGCTATAATACATTGCTCGTAATTTTACGACTAGAATTTATCGTAATAACATTCCATAAATTGATTGTACACGATAGTAAATATCTCTTTAAAAATCACTATAAACAATATAATAATCTAAAAATCTTAAACTACTAAAAAAGATATTAAACAAAAAAATTTATATTTTTAAATTAATTTAATGATTTAATGTAAGCTGCGTCGAATAACTCGAGTTCGTTGGCGAGATAATTCGCTTTGTTTCGTAAAACTTTAGCATTTGTTACTGCTGTTTCGAGGGACCGTAAAGTTTCTGTGATTTTTTGTAATTCTGAGTTCATTTCGGTGTTAGATTCATCGACCAAGTGGCACAAGCGAGCAAACGTACTCGATAATTCTCTGTAAAAAAAAAAAAAATTATTTATTTTTAAATCTCTCCCTCAAAAATAAAATTAATTATTTAATAAAATAATAAATCTTACTGTTGAACTTGATGACTGCAATTCGCAGAAGTAAGGTCGACAATCAATCTCAATTTTTTGGTCGCATGAGCAACATATTGGCGCTTAAATTCACGCTCCTTGGCTCTGTTTGTCCATGTAAGTCGTTCGTAAAGATACAAAGATCCATAAATAGCTCCAGTGACTGCAATTAATCTCCAGCCAACTGTTTTTAACATCTGAAATATATTTAATAATTATTAATATATATAATAATTATTTTTAAGAATAAAAATTTTTATTCCTTAATTAATTAAATACTTACAAATCCAGCAATTATTAATCCACCCATCGTTCCTTGAGACACTATAGACGAAATAGCAACTCGGGATGCTAGTGACCAGTCGTCATTACGAGGTGAAAAATTAATAGGATTAGTTATATATTTTATTGAGTCTACACTGTCAGTTGGTGATGTTATTGATGGTGGAATCTGTAGATAAATAAATTTAAATTATGATATTTAGGCTACACTCGAAAATGCTCTATCTCTAGATACATAATTAAGAAATGACCTTGTGTCTTGTGAACTATTGACATTTTTAAAAAAATAAGCTCATCCCGATGTTACACTCATCAAGACCTTTCATTTGAGTACCCACATCAATTTTTCATATATTTTATATATTATATATATATATATATATATATGTATATATAAAAAATATATGAAAAATTGATGTGGGTACTCAAATGAAAGCTCTTGATGAGTGTAACATCGGGATGAGCTTATATCTTTAAAAACGTCAATATTTAAGAAAGTACAGTCCAATTTTACAAAAGTTATTATTTAATAAGGGTTTACTTACATCTTGAGGATAATTAGCAATAGCTAATTTATTTCCTTGCTTTCCATAAAAGCGATTAATCATCGCTGTAATACCCCACGAAAATCTAAACTCCAAATCTTCATGAAAGTCTGCACAAAGATTCTCACAATTAAGACGGTACAAAACTTCGAATGGTTCTCTTCTAGGCAAAATATTTAAACATAATTGCTGTTTATTTTCAGGGAGTAAACAAGCCATTCGATTGGTCATTTCACGCTGAGAAGACTCCATATTAGAGGCTAGTACTGAGCTCAGTTGAGCTCTCAAATTGGATCCTGCAAAAAAATATTAATGCATTAAATAAAAAATTTGTATCAAATAAAATTAATTTGAAATTGAAATTTAATTCTGACCTAAGCCACTCTCGACGTAAGAATGAAGCTCGCGTTTGTAAACATTCAAAACAAGTGGCTCTGCGTGGAAACGCACGTTAAAGTCATTTACCAAAGAAGACAAACGCCGTATTTCAGCGTTCAAAGCTTTTGATACACGTTGCTCAACATCCTCAACGACTCTGTGAATTTTTTCCTTCATCTCTTTCGTAACTAATCCTAATTGGTCTTCAGTATAATTAAGTTTGTCGTTAACTTCTTTTTGAACTGCTAATTGTTCGATACGAATTCTTTGAGCGCGATTCAACACTTCATCCAATGTCTGACGGATTTCTCTGTTATTAAAAAAAAATTTCTTAAGTATTTAAGTTTTTGTTAATTAATTTATTTATTTATTAATTAATGAATCTTACGTCGCGATATGTTTGCCTCTTTGTGAATGTTGTTCAAACTTAGTTTTTACTGCAGACTTAGAAATACATTCTTCAAATTTTCTTTCGAAATCCTGGAACTCAAAATACCGATTTTGGAAACCTTGCTGGACTATTGCACCATCTATAAATTAAAAAAAATTTTTTAATAATTTTCGAAAATGCTCTTTCTCTAGATACATAATTAAGAAATGACCTTGTATCTCGTAAACGATTGACATTTTTAAAGATATAAGCTCACCCTGACATTACACTCATCGAGACCTTTCATTTGAGTACCTACATTAATTTTTCATATATTTATATATATTATATATTATATATGTATATATGAAAAATATATCAAAAATGCATGTGGGTACTCAAATGAAAGCTCTTGATGAATGTAACATCAGGATGAGCTTATATCTTTAAAAACGTCAATATTTAAGAAAGTACAGAGCAATTTAACAAAAATCATTATTTAATAATGCAAATTTTAATATTTTATAGTTCACAAGTCAAGTGTCTGCAAGCTTGCTAGTTTATATCTTAAATAAAAATACTTACTGTGAGCAGGGTTCCCAAGTTGTTCCTGCATACGCGCCTGAAGAGTTTCCTTAGCAGAGATGAAGAAAATTCGATCGTCAGCATCTTTCAATGAATAAACTTTGAGTTCGCGTGCCAAGAATTCAACAGCTCGTTCTTGATGTTGTGCTCTCACCTAAAATTAAAAAACAATTTTTACAATTATTTTTCACAGTCACAAGACTTACAATTATTAATTATATAATTATATAAAGCATATCTTCGAAGCTAATAAAAATAAACAGCTTAATTTTTTAATAAAAATTTCACAAAGCAGTTAAACAAAAATTGAATCGTATCATGCTTTTTTAAAACAGTGCTTTTTTTAATTTTTGTGCTTCAAAAAACTATTCCTCCTTCAGAACTTACTTCTTTTTGTTCATTGGCCAGCTAAGACAATTAGAAATAACGCAATCTTTACTACACTTTGGCATTACTGTTTACTTTTCAAAATTATACTTTTTTATTTTTTAAATAATTATTATTATTCTTTACTATCGTACCAAAGTTTTATTAAATTAAATAAAATAAAATTATACTCACTTCGTCAAGAAATTCCGGTTCAGATGCAGATGCATCCCATCGATTGTTCAGAATAAAAATGTTTGGTTTTGATAATTTCTTCGAAACTTTGTGGAAAAAATTTTTTTCCTAAAAATTTAGAATTAAAAATAATCAATAAATATTTTTTATGTAAATAAAATACTTACAGTGACCATCAACGTCGACTCGGCGTTAGCAACCAAAACAAACACATCAGCGTCCAAACAATGTTTATCGATCCACTCATCAAGGTTTGGTGTAACATCAACTCCGGGACTGTCGACAAATACAACGTCGTCTCTTAGAAGAAGGCACTTTTCTTTCGGCCAAAATATCCGCACCAAATTGCTCTCACACAATTTTTCTTTACACAGTGCATGGCCTAGCTGGCCAACTGACTCAACGGATTGTTTTTTGTTGGAACCTTCGGTCATTAAATATGACTCGCCGTTTTCAGAGCCTTCTACTTGGAGGAAACAGTTGGTCGTATGTCCAATACCACTTGGCAAAATTTTGTCCCTTAACATCGCATTTATTACAGTACTCTTTCCATTACTCGTTCTGTGAAAAATAATATTAATTATCATTTAATAATTAAAATAATAAGCAATTAATATTTAGAAAAAATTCATTCATTAAAAAAAAAAAAATATTTACCGTCCAAAAAATGCTACTTTCATGTGATCTCGCTTAAGAACATCTCGTATTCCATGTACTCTGTCGATGTAACTTTGAATGTTTTCAACCTCTTCTGCATTAATGACATTACGGTCATTTTGAAGTGCTAAAAAAATTAAATTTTTTAATTAATAAAATAAACAGAATTAAGAAATGACCTTGTATCTTGTGAACCATTGATATTTTTAAAGATATAAGCTCGTCCTGATGTTACACTCATCAAGACCTTTCATTTGAGTACCCACATCAATTTTTCATATATTTCATATATTTATATATATTATATATATGTATATATGACAAATATATCAAAAATGCATGTAGGTACTCAAATGAAAGGTCTTGATGAGCGTTACATCAGGATGAGCTTATATCTTAAAAAATATCAATAATTAAGAAATGACCTTGTATTTTGTCTACTACAGATATTTTTAAAGATATAAGCTCATCCCGATGTTACACTCATCAAGACCTTTCATTTGAGTACCCACATCAATTTTTCATATATTTTATATATTTATATATATGTATATATGAAAAATATATCAAAAATGCATGTGGGTACTCAAATGAAAGCTCTTGATGAGTATAATAACATCGGGATGAGCTTATATTTTCAATTGCTTACATCTAATAATAATAAACTTACTTTGCATAAAATCCACAGTCTCCTTAACATAAACTTCTATTTCCCCAAAGATGTCATTAATTTTTTTCTTAGCTTTGACGAAAATCTGAAGAGGAGAATTATCAGTTCTGGTATCATTTACACGAAGCTGGCTGTCTCCTCCAATCATTGAGACTGTTCGATTGATGTAGGCAGCCATTTAAATAAATTTTAAGATCGCTAAAGATGAGCTAATGGTGATAGTAGTGCGTTACAATTCAGGCAGAGTACTGATACCGTGCAGACAGCATGCGGGACCAACTGAAACCAAACAATAAATAATAAATAAGCAGTGTACATTTATAATATACAAAATACAATATTTTTCATCAATAATACTAGTGATTAAGCTGATAGATGGATGGTAAGAAGAAAAACTTAAATGGAAAGGAGACAAGCGGCTTAAAAAAATAAATTTACATTGACACTTTTTTTATAATTATATCTAAGGCTACTTTTTTACTTATTACATAAATAAATAATTTTTTATAAATACTGCTGCTCATAAATGTAAATAAATAATTTAATTATCCAACAATAATAATAATAATAATAATAATAAATAAATAAAAATAAAATAAAACAATAATTATGTGCGTATATAATTTTTAAAACACGTACAAAGCAAGAAATAACACCTGCTTGTTAGAAGATTCATTTTTATTATTATCCTGGGATGATGTACTAGTACTACTATCATTATTTCCAGAACACGACATAATATCCATTTTATTACTGAAAAAATTAAGTTTTTTTTTTTGTCATACAAAATACTTACGTTATTTAAATTTTTTAAATAAAATTAAAAATAAAAAATATGTGTGATGTAATCCCTAAATTTTGCGCAGTTAATATTAACATTAATAAATATATCTATTGATGATATATTGGAGTGCAAATTTTATATTCACTGGTACTTAACCTTACTTTGTTAAATAAAATGAAATGATGTAACTTTCTCAAGATGATCTTACTTAGTTTTATTATTATGTAAATAAATATACTCTAAATATTTACTTTTTTAGATGTTACTATCTCTTTGATCTTCAATCACCGATTCACTCCATTTAGATTACCACACTTGGCGAATTAATTCACAGCCGATCCTCTTGGTATTGAAATTAAATTGATAAGTGGTGAAATCTCACACTATAGTTCTGGCCTATACATATACAAAACTAAAGATTAAACTGTACACTTGTCACCACGTGACGTAATTTTTGCTGAGATATAATTGATTATCAATATATTTGATAAAATAAAAGACCTTTTTTACTTTCAATTAATTATTTTACAAGTGTCTTGTCTAATTAGATATTTTGAATAAAATGCGCAGTTGATTAAAATTAAAAAAATTAATTTTTTGCGCATCGCTAGTCAAGGACACGTGATCAGCTTTAATTTTATTGGTAAATATATATACTTAGATAAATAACAACAAAGTTTTTTTTCGGCACTTTTTTTAACTTACAAAAAATATTTAAATAAAGAACAAAGTAATTTTTTTTTCAGTTGTAAAATTTCTAAAAATAGTTTATTTATTTATTTACAACAGTATTTTAATTAGTATAAAAATGTCTGGATCCAATGACAAGTTGCGGGTAACTATTATTATTATTATTATTGTTGTTATTATTATTATTATTATAAATAAACTTTTTATAATACTGAAATTTTTTGATTTTTATAATAATTAAATTATTATTATTATATTAAAAAAATGACATTAGAAATTTTCAAAAAATTAAAAATGCAATTTTTTAACAATAATTTTATTTAATAAATTTGTTTGTTAAATAAAATTAAAAAAAATTATTAAAAGAAAAAATTTCAAATGTAAAAAATTTAAAGAATTATGTATATAATTTTTTTAATTGTTGAAAATAAATACAAAAATTGTTACTTGTCATAAATTTTGTATGTTTAATTAAATAAAATAAAGCCATTGATTTATTTTGACAGATTTTAGCGCTTCACGGTTTCCGGCAATCAGATATTGTATTTAGGAGTAAAATAGGTTCACTTAGAAAAAATTTCAAACAAAAAATAGAATTCTATTTTGCTAGAGCACCACACGTAGTTCCACCGCTTGAAAATAATAAGAAGGATGATAATGAAGAGAAAACTGGTGAAGAAGCTGCTGATACTGGCGAAGAATGTATAAATATTAATCATAAATAATTTTTATTATCCATATTTACAGTATGAAGGGTAGAAGTAGACCTCTACCCTCCATAATTTACATTCAATAATTTTTTGTTCAATATTTTAGCAAGAGGATGGTGGTTCAATACGGAAGATCTTGCATTCAAAGCAATTGTCCCCAGTAATATGTCTGTTGGTTTCGAGGACAGCTTAAAAGTTATAGAAAAAATCTTTCAAGAACAGGGACCATTTGATGGAGTATTAGGATTTTCTCAAGGCGCGTCATTTGTTTCTATTTTATGCGCGATGCAACAGAAAAATTGTAAGTTTATCATATTTTATTTGTAAATATAACACCTAATTATTTTTATTTATTTCAGTGGGACATCCATCGATAAAATTTAAATTTGCAATTATGGTGTGCGGATTTAAATCTTTGTGTGAACCACATGCTAAATTTTATGATGAAAAAATAAATTTACCGGCGTTTTTTGTTTATGGAACTACAGATCGATTAATACCTATAGGTAATTTTTATTTTTATAAATTTTACTCTTTAAAATCAACAATTAATAATTTAATAATTATAATATATTCTATTTTTACAGAAACTGCGGAAGCTTTAGTAAACATGTTTACTAATAAAAAAGTTTTCGTCCATGACGGAGGTCATTATATCGCGGGAAAAAAACATATTTACAATGATTTCTTCTCTGAAATGTATGCAATTAAAAATTCTAATTAAATGAAAAAAATAAAATTATTTTAATACAATAATTTTTCTTTTTTTACTCCATAATTTTAAAAGGAATATTTTATTAATTAGTAACTAAAAATTCTGACACTTTTATTTATTTTATTTTTATTATTATTGTTGTATGCAAATTACAAAATTGAGAAGTGAATATTGTAGAATTTTTTGATAATTCTTACAGAATAATTTAATACAAAAAAAAAGGTGCTGTGATGTTATTTTCTACAACAATTTTTCATAAATGTTTGAAGTGAAAAAAATAAAAATTCAGGTTCAATATGAAAAATTTAATTTATTAAACAAAAAAAAAAATGAATATTTTTTACAAGCAACATAAATTTTATAACTGTTTAAATAAAAATATAAATTGAATTGAACAGATCTTTCTAAAGAAAATACTTACAAAATATTTAATTGCAAGTGATTGTAAAATAAAATTCACACTATTAATTAAAATGATTTTATCAATATAAATAATCGGTGTTGTGAAAATAAAAAAAATACATTTACGCTTTGCAAATTAAATTACTGTATTTGAAATATTATTAAAATAAAGATACTTTAAGTATAATTTAACTAAATTGAAAATATAAACTCAAAATATATTAATTTGAGAGACACAAAACTGTTTAATTTAACATCAAGAAATAAAATAATGATCATCACTTGCTTGTAATTACTGTAACGATTACAAGTAAGACATTGATCACTGATAGTTTGGTTGGTAGTATAAAAGTTTCAAGATGCCTGCTCTTGTCCATTTGCTTCTTGCGACTTCATAACATCAGGAAGATCAGGTGGTTGAGAGTACGGAGTTATTTCTAGTTTTTCAAATGAACCATTCTCTTGAAGTAATGCAAGTCCAACTAATGCAGGACTTTGCGCTTTTGCCGAGTTTGAATTAAGTCCGTAATCGGACAGTGATTTTCCGTCAACCATCTCAGTGTTTTCTTTGTTGAAAAGCTGCTGATGCGTTGGAGGAATTTTTAAGATTCCTAAAATAAAATAATAAATTTTAACGCTACAGCAAATTTATTTTTTCAAGACTTAAAAAATAAAATTTACCTTCAATCATTTTTTTAAGCTCCAAAACAGTTGTATTGTCTTTCGCATCAGTAAAAATAGTTGTTTTTTTCCTTCTGATCATCAAGAAAACATCCTAAAAAAATAAATTATTAGTTAGCACACTTGATTTTTTATTTTTTTTATTTATTTGTTTAAAATTTAATAAATATTTTCTCAATTAATTTTGATAAAAAATAAATGACAAAAGTTATCAGTCACTTGATTATTTATAACAAATAAATTTGTTCCAAAATATTATTTTAAAAAAATTGTATTTCTAATTGCTATAAAATTTTTTTCCCCTAATTTATTTGTCAAAATTTAATAAACATCTTCTAAATAAATTTTCATAAAAAATAAATGAAAATATTTGAGGTTAAGAACCTGAAAGTTTTTGTAAAGGAACAGAAAAGTACCACAGAAGCAAGTAATATTATTAAACTTACCATTTTGTTGAATTATTTTAGCCTAATTTTATGATGATGATGAATAAATAAATTCAATATTAATTCTATCCTGAATTTTTAATGACTACCCGAAAGCTTCCTGATTACTGGACAGTCTTAAAACAAGAGACACTCAAAAACTTGTCAGCCTTATGAATATATATGTATGTATACATGAATAAATATATGTATGATAGTAGAATTTGTGAGTTTGTAAAATCTCGAGTAGCACGTTGCGGTAGGAGCAGAAAGTGACAGTAATTATTCAATAATTCAGATTATGTAACTTATTGTTGTAAATTGATAACAACAATGAGAATCATTCATTGTTAGCGCAGTAAGTTTTGTTTTTATTCATTTGTTTATAACTTAAGTTATAAAAATTATTTTTTTCTGAAAGCAAAAAGCTTGATAAGATAATTTTTTAACTTACCGCTCGATGACAAGAGCGCTTTAATAAGTTTCCGGTTGTTAAAAAAGTCGCTGACTGGCGCGCAAAAAATATAGTACTAATTTTCGCCACAAGAGGCGTGACAGTCTTGTTTTTTTTTATAAAACTAACCTGAAACTTACAATCTACTGAAAATATTCATCGGTGTAAAAGCAAAATAAAAATAAAACGTAAATAACAGCCGATTCTAACCAAAATACACCGAGTTTGTGTTTATAAATAAAAATATCTAAATAAATTAATTAAAATTTATTGATAATGATTCTTACTTGATAAGTAAGACAATAATAAATTTAATGGGATGGATGACGCTGAACTCTCTGTGAGTAATAGTAATAGAAATGAAGTTTTAAGTCAATCCTACTCCCAAGGGCTTGAAAGGTATTTATTTATTTTATTATTTATATTTTTAAAACTTTAATTTTATTACTTATGAACAACATATTCATAGTTAATTAAATAATAAAGTTTTATTTTTTTAATCAATACTTGGGTGAGTTTGTGCTTAGTTTAGAATGTCAATAATATTGACAGGTTATTTTTACAATTTATCATATGACAATAAACAGCAATTTTGTAACTTAAATAATTTAAATAAACTATTTGAGTAATTTTTCAATATTTAATAACTTATTTTTTTTTTTAATATTGTATTTATTTATTATTACAGGATTAGTTGTAAAAATGCCACAACAGATTATCAACTTCCAGCCGGTTTGATTCGGATGCGTGAAGATCAATGGGAGGAATTTTTCAAGAGATATGACAAAGAAGTATTTATTTTATTTTATTAAAATTTTTTTAATTTTAATAACGAATAAATTATGAAAAAAATGAAAACAAAAATTGACATTATGAAATTTTTAAAAATTAAAAATGCAATTTTTTGGAACTAATTTTTTTATTAAATAGAATAAAAATAAAAGTCAAGTAACTGCTAACTTTAATGTCATTTTTTATGAAAATTAATTTACCTAATAATTTTTGTAACAAATAAATTATAAAAAAAAATGAGTAAAAAAAATTGACATTAAAAAATAAAAAATGTAATTTTTTAAAAATAATTTTTCAGAACAAATTTTCTTATTAAAAAATAGTCAAGTGACTTATGTACTTTAATGTCATTTTTTAAATAAATTAATTTAGCAAATAATAATTTTTATAACAAATAAATTATGAAAAAAAATTGACATTAAAAAATAAAAAATGCAATTTTTTAAATATAATTTTTTAGAACAAATTTGGTTATTAAAAAAAAATTAAAAAATAGTCAAGTAGCAATTAATTTTAATGCCATAAACTTCTTTTTGAATAAACCAACTAATTTCATTTAATTCCAGTTAGGAGAAGACCTGGAGATAGATTTACACACAGACTATGACGAAGAGGAAGGAAATAAGAACGCCGAGGAAAACTCAGCCGAAGAGAGTGACTTTAATTTGCGCCAGCTCGACTCCGACGTAGAAGAGTCCGAAGACTCCGACGACGACGACGATGACGAAGAAGAAGAAGAAGAAGAAGAAGAAGAAGAGGAAGACGAAGAGCAGTATTTTGAGAAAAACCGCGCTCCTCTTCGTAAGACTCCCAATTTAATCCAGTACTGGATCGACACCGGCCGTCCTCCGATTCTGATGACCGAGGAGCCGGAGGAGTTCAGAGAATTATTAGGTGAAGACAATCCCCAGCCTGCAGTGGGTAAGATAAAAACATTTAACTCTACGGAGGCTGAAGCGAAGCGTCCCAGTAATTCAGTATTCAGTTCTGTGGACACTGCAGCTTATATTCTCTCCAACACAAATGTTACAGCCAAGGCTGAGACAATCGCCATTGTTGAAGGTGCTAAGTCTCTTGATTTAAATGACATTAATGTTAACGTTAATTCCGAAGTGCCAGACTTATTTAATGGAATTGCTTGTGATAAAAATTCGAGTCCTTTAAAAAATAGTCCCCTTAAAAAGCATCACAGTCCGAATAAAAATATTAAGGCTCTTAGAATTATTAAATCTTCTCCAGTAAAAGAAATTGAAGCTCTAATTGAGGCTCCAAAAAATTTAGATGTAAATAATAGTAATAATATTAATGATAATAATCAAAATAGCAATACAATTTTTAAAGAGAAGGATACTAATAATTTAAAACCGAGATTAAATAATAATCCAATTGCACAATGTAGTCCTAAAATAGCAGACGTTCTTCCAACGCACGAGGATCCAACCAGAGCTAAGGTCATTGAGTCTTCGAATATTTCCAAAGAATACGACAATGAAAACTCCCTTAAATCATTGAAGATCAATTGGAATAATAATAACAACAGTAAGGTTGACTTTACTGTTAACAACGGCCGTAAAACATTGAAGAAAAAATTGTACACCCAGCGTAACTCTCCGGTAACTATCGTACCCACTACTCCGATAAGCGTGCACAGTAATTTTAATGACAGTGATTATTTTGAGAGTAGTAATAAAATAAATTATGAAACAGAGTCTAATAAAATGCTCGGAAAATTGCATCCTGTTTTTGCGACGCCTTTTAATAAGAAGAGTAAAGTTAAGAAGATAAAACGGGCTAGCTGGGCTCGAAGGATGAGCCGGTATTCTAAAATTAATAAAAGTTCTGAAGCTGATGAGACTATTGCTCCTGGTCCTGATAATAGTGTAGAAAATAATTCTCAGGAGGAGGATAGTAAATTAAATTCTGAGAAAAAAGAGAAGGAGGATAAGAGTGCAGAGAAGAAGAAGAAGAAGAAGAAGAAGAAATTAATTAAGGCGAAGAAAATTAGGCAAAGTATCAGGCCGAAGGAATTGATTAATTATGGTGAAGTTTTTTCTGAGGAAGAGAAGCTTTATAAGAGTAAGAAAAAAAATTTGGAGGAAACAGAGGCTTTGGAGGAAGTTAAAAGCAAAGAATTAGATGAGAAAAAAAATAATGAGGCTTGTGATTTACTTAAAATATGTAAAAAATTGACAATTAATTTAGAACCGCTGCCTGATAATTATTTAAAAAATAAGTCTAAAAATGTAGAAAATGAAATTCAGAACTTAGAAGATTCACTGGAGAGTGATGGAAGCACGATACTTATGTATGAGTGTGCTTTAAATGGCAAGGATGTAAATACGGATACTGAAACTGGGACTGAAGTAAGTCGGCATGAGTCTGAAGATGATAAATCACAGAAATTAGGGATTGAATCGGTGAAAAAGTCTAGGAAATTTGTTCAGAGGTGTTTGGGTTCTTTGAGTGATAAGAATTTAACTGAAATTGGAGCTGGGAATAGTATCAGCGCGAAGATCAATGATACTGATGATGAAGATGATGATTTGGAGCTTGGAAAAGCGAGTAGTGTCACGATCCAGAGCTCGGATGTAAAAGCAACGGATAAGAATTTAAAAGAGCGACTTATATCGTTTTCTTCTGACGAAGAAGACGATTTTTTGAAGATTCTGAGCAAGAATCAATCCCAGGCGAGGATGAGTGTGTCTAAATTGGATGGTTCGAAAAATTACGATAGCCTTGTTAGTGATTTGGCGGGAGAGTCGAGAGTAAGGTTGTCATCTTTGGTGGCCACGCCGATGGCGGTGCTGAAAATTGTCAGCGATTCGGAGGACGAACAGCTGATTAGTCAAGATGATCTGAATGTTAAGAGGAGATTGAGTGGTGTGAAACAGGAAAAGTCTCCGAAGATTAGGAGCAAGAGGTTGAAGATGTTGGACAAGAGAAAAGGAAGATTTAGTTGCGGAGGGGATAAAATTGAAGAGTCGGGGGAAAGTTTGAAAAAAATTGGGGACTTTAATGGACTTACTGATAATCGAGATAATAATTTGAGTTTGGAAGCGGATAAAGCGGAATTTAAGGGGAAAATAGTAAATGGAGAAGAAGAAGAAGAAGAAGAAGAGAAGGATTTGAAGAAGACGAGGAAGAAAAATAAATTTGGTAAATCTTTGGTTCAAACTTTTGGTAAAAAACGTTTGAGTAAAATTGCTGAGTTTGATTCTTCTGATGAACCTTTAGTGAGTCCGCCGAAAAAAATAAAAATTAGTGAAGGAAAATTAGAAGCCAGCGGGGATGGTAATTCTGAATTAAAGAGTATTAAATTAGGTTTTAAAAATTCTAAAATTAGAGATAATAAAGGTTTAGATAGTTCAAAGGGTAAAAAATTGGAAGAAATAAATTGTAAATTAAAATTAAAAGAAGTACAAAGTCCTGGGACTGATTTACAATCAAATTTTAAGACTCCGGTGAATAAAATAATTAAGAGTAATGTTAATAGTAATAGTAATAAGAAACGAGTTTCTTTCTCTGCTACGAAACTAGAAAAAATACTTGTATACGACAGTGACAGCTCTGATGACAGTTTGTTTATTTCAAATAAATCTCCCAATGGGAACTTTGATAAAATAACTAATAATAATAATAATAATAATTCAAGTTTTGAAAATGGAAAAATAAGCTCAAATAAAAGAATAACTTTTTCTAGTTCGGGGTGTAGTTTAGCGAATATAAAAGTATTTTCTAGCAGATTTGTCAGTGATTCTGATGACTCGAATGATTGAATAAGTTGAGTATTTTTCATGTACATTATTAATTTTGGATATATTTTGTTTATCTAGGTCGTTAACAAACTTTTTTAAAAATTAAAATAAGTATTTTTTTATATTCATAATTTATTTCTACGATTATTATTATTAATTATTATTTTCTACAGTCGTTGACGACGATATATCAATATTAAAATAGTATTTTCATTATAAGTTTTGTAAAAACCAATTATAAATATGTCTTTGCAATAAATATATTTTTTGCAAGTAAGACTTTATTTTATTTTTTAAAAATTAATTATTAAAAAATTATTGATAGAAAAAAAATTTTTTTTAAGTCGTTAGATAAATTGTAACTATTTATAAAATTATTTTCTAGCTGTGCCCATAATATGATAGCAGGTTAAATTTAATCGATAAGGCTGAGACACGTAACCACGTAATTTTATTTTTTCCCATTCCACGGACTTGAAATTAGCGGATTGAATAAATTTAAGTGGATTTGAATCCAATCGGCAGTCTCCAAAAAGTGACGGCCAAATTTTTGTTTTTGTTAAAAAGCTTTGCAGCCAACGAGTTAATGCATCTTTGGTATCTGGTATGTGTTCTAAAAATAAATAGACACCACCCTGAAATATAATTAAAAAAAATTTAATTAATTAGAAGTATTATCAATTATGAATCTTAATTGAATTTAATTTTAGGAAAAGTTTCGTTTTAAAATAGTTATACTTTATTACATTTACTTTTAATTTTATTATATTTATCCGTATATTGGAGCTATTTTTAAAAAATTATCTCAAACAAGTATTAGATAACAGTCTTAATTACATTTCTAATCATATTTTATAAAAAACAATTATTTTATCAGTAAAATAAAGTATTTTTTTTTTTTTTACCGGTGCAAGAACTCGACGAATTTCCTTGAGAACTTCGGGTACTGATGATACAGAACAGAGAGATCTAGTTGTAACAACAGCATCTATGTAATTATTAGGAATATCTTTTAGACAACTACCGTCGCCAATTATTAATTTTTCTATTTCAATGTGAGAAAACTGCCAGGCGTGGTCGCTTTCTGTTAAATATTCTTTTAGTTTGTAATTCCAGTCGACGCCTATTAAATGGGTACCATTTGGATAAAATTGAATATTTTGACCTTCAAAAAAAATTAACAATAATAAAAATAAATTCTTAAAAAGTCTTATTATTATTATTATTATTATTATTATCTATGTAAGCTGCATTCGAAAATACTCTATATCTAGATACATAATTGAGAAATGACCTTGTATCTTTTGAAATATTGACATTTTTTAAGATATAAGCTCATCCCGATGTTACACTCATCGAGACCTTTCATTTGAGTACCCACATCAATTTTTCATATATTTTATATATTTATATATATGCATATATGAAAAATATATCAAAAATGTATGTGGGTACTCAAATGAAAGCTTTTGATGAGTGTAACATCAGGATGAGCTTATATCTTTAAAAACGTCAATATTTAAGAAAGTACAGTGTAATTTAACAAAAATCATTACTGCAAGGTTGCCAGTTAATATTAATAATAACAGGAGACTTTGACGGTTTTAATGATAAAAAAATAATAATAATAAATATTATTAAAAAATATCAATAATTACCAGTTTTAACTCCTATTTCAAGTACTCTTATACAATTATTAAACCGTAAAAATTTATCATAAGACTCTAAATTATCCAATGGCTCAAATAAACGCCTCTTATACGGCACCGCAACTTCAGCACACTCCGCTTCAAATCCCAACAAATGTAACCGATAAATATAACTAGTTAATTTACACCACTTTGAATTAACAAAATAATAAATAATCAACATAATTATTAATAATAAACCATAAATAGAAATAACATTACGGATCCAAATATCACATGTTGCCATGTTTGAATTAAAACAGTAAATATTTACAATTATTTTTGTTTATCTCTATTTACATAACGTATCAATATACACTCAAACGAAACTACTATTTAATCTAAAGTCAAATATTATTGTGATAGACATTTTTTTTTCTTTAATTAATCCACCGAAAGATCATAATTAGATGACAAAAAAATTTTATTGTAAATATATATAAATATGACTGGTAATAATCATTTTAAAATATATATGTGGTACAAAAAATGATACTGAGTAACCAAGTGATAAGATAATTTATTTTTATACTTTTTTTTTTCTTTAATTATGAAATGTGTTTACTTGTAATTGATTTTGATTAAAAATTCATAGATAATTTTACGAATAAAAGATTTTATTTTTTTCTTTTCAATTTGAAGGCGAGGTTTTATTTAAATAAACAAATATTTGATTATTTGAAGGACTTTGAAGTCACAAAAAGTAAAAACAGCCGGTCTATTATCAGTGAAGCCCCCTGTAAAGTATTAAGTAGTATTAAGAAGAAAGAAAGATGGATAAAAAACTAGTGGAATGAATGATTTTTACCCGAATGTGCAATAATGATGGTTGATGGTAAATAAAAAAATGTTGGAGCCAGTGGGGTCAGAGAGTAAGAACAAAGGAGTCCTGGGTTTTCCAAACCAAAAAAGAAATAAACCCCCGGTGCACAATAGACGGGTAGCTTCGATATTGATGCCAGGGCAAGCAAATGTCTTTGTCGTTGCGCTGAAGAGTGACCACAAACAACGGGGTCGACGATTACGTGCACCCAAGTGGTAAGTGGTTTACTCACTCATTCGTGCGATCTAGACCAGAAGCGCACATACGTAGTTCTCTTAAATGTATAGTCGCATAAATTCGATTGAGAGGCATTTCGCGATCCGGAGGCGTTTTGTTTTTGACGTTGGGCGGAGAGAAGGTTGGCCGTTGTGGCGGCTCGTTCACTTGGATGAATCATCAAGCTAAATTCAACCTGGACCCCTGTACTGATGAACACCCTAAACTTTGTGCTCAATCTCAAAGACGTTAATCCACTTTGTTTTTTTCGTTTATTTAATCTTACCATTTTATTTTTTCCCAGGAAGCTCATATTATTTCACATCATCAAGTTATCAATAATTAAGCCTCGGAGTACCTTGGGGGTCATTTTGTGACTTCTGTGACTTGTAAACTATAAATAAATGAAATTTTGTTTTGTTAAGTAATGAATTTTGTTAAATTGCACTGTACTTTCTTTACTATTGACTTTTTTAAAGATATAAGCTCATCCCGATGTTACACTCATCAAGACCTTTCATTTGAGTACCCACATGCATTTTTGATATATTTATCATATATACATATATATATAATATATATAAATATATTAACCCATTCGTCTCATTGGCTCAAGCAGCTCGGTGCACTGGACATGTCAATTCATGTTTATACTTGTTTCGTGTAACTCGTAAGTTCTTACGCATAAATAAATTGTTTAAGTTAATATTTGTCTATTTTTTATTTAAAATGCCACGGGGAAAACACTAGTCCGAGCTATCTAATAATTTTTTTTTCTCGCATATTCTATAAACTGACATTAAGAAGTTCCTCTCCATAATCCTTTCTCAATCTTTTCCTATCAATTATCCTGTTACGTGAATGTTGGAACGCTTCACGTAATAATTATCCGTAACTCCTATTCTTTTCCGCTTCACAGCATTATTTATATTTGTTAAAAATGTGGAACGCTTCACGATTTTGCGTGTCATCCTTGCGCAGGGGCCATATATATATAATATATAAATATATGAAAAATTGATATGGGTATTCAAATGAAAGGTCTCGGTGAGTGTTACATCGGAATAAGCTTATATCTTTAAAAATGTCAATTGTTCACAAGATACAAGGTCATTTCTTAATTATGTTAAATTGCACTGTACTTTTATAATTATTGACATTTTTTAAGATATCAGCTCATCCCGATGTTACAATCATCAAGAGCTTTCATTTGAGTACCCACATGCATTTTTGATATATTTTTCATATATACATATATATAATATATATAAATATATGAAATATATGAAAAATTGATGTAGGTATTCAAATGAAAGGTCTCGACGAGTGTAACATCAGGATGAGCTTATATCTTTAAAAATGTCAATATGTAATTGGGTATGTAATTGTTTATTACAAATGATAATAAGAGTTGAAGTGTGATATGATGAGGATGTACTACCCAGCGAAATGACGGTACTTGAGGAGTACAGGTAAATGGATAGAGTTAAGTACTTGACAAGTGCACGTCTAGTTGGCACAGCGTTGCACATCATGGTCACGTTTTACCAACGACTGTCAGTTGCTGTGACATGCCCCGGGTGTGTCAGCAAATTCAATCGCTGAAGGTAGATACATGGACATTATTATTGTGTAGACGGATAAAGAGGCTACATCGAATATTCTACATACAACTATTGTACATTGTGTATTATATATTATGTATTACACTCGAGTACCCTGCAGTTGGAGCCCACATGGCCCGAGGACTCGAGTATCTATCGGCTTATTGCCGGTCACGAAGCAAACTCACCACCTATCATTGCGATCTCTTGAGAGTGAAAAATATTTAAATTCGACTACTCTATCACGTTTGCAAAAACAATTATAATAATAATAATAATAATAATAATAATAATAATAATAATAACTATCATTTTATTGATAAAATAGTTTATTAATTCATAATTTTCTTTTTTTTCTAATACATTTATTTTAATTATTTCTTTTTTTACTATCAAAAGAGAAAAAAATATTTTTTGGCCAATTAATAATTACAAAAAAAATGTATTTTTATCAGAAATGTATTTCAACTCTTGTAATTTAAATTAAAAAATTATAAATATTATATTTTACATAAAAAAAACTATTTAATTTTATTTTATGCAGGGCCCATAACCTGTTGCAATAAATAATTTTTTTCTAAAATATTAATTTTAATTATTTTTTTTTCTTCTATCAAAAGACGGAACAAACTTTCGGGATAATTGTTAATTATAAAAAAGTTAGTTTTTATCACGAGTATCATACTAACTTTATAATCGCACCTGTCAAGTAGATTATAGACCGGCACGTGTGTCATCAGACCCTCCACCAAGTATAATCTCAAACTCGTTACAATCGCGATTAGATGGTAAAACATATATAGAAGGCTTCACGTGTCGATCACGCATAGATCTCCAGCTCTGAATTTTATTTCATGAAGAAAAAAAAACATATCTATCCAACGACAGATGTATGAGTCATTATACAGTAAACAATTACCCATCTTTTGGTTTTTTTTTATATCCGTATCCCGTATTCCGTCATTAAAAATTAGTTTTTTTAATTTCCACTCTGAAAGATAAATCTACGAGTTAAAAGAAACAATTACCTAAAGTGTGGAGGTATTTAGTTTACCTAATTGCGCAAGATAGTATCTGTTTTGTACTTAGCAATGTATAACTGACGCACACCTTTAATACGCGACCCCAGTTTGGTTCCACAAGTAGACTGTAACATATAACATATGTCAGCTTGATTATTCAACATTCGGTGACATGTTGATAGTCTTCTGGCGAATTAAATATTTAAAAAAAAAAAAATCAAGAGTTTTGCCGACTTTAATTTTGTAAATTTTTTATCGAGTCACGTATTTAGTTGTTGATTTTCGGCCTATTGTTGTAGAAAAAAGACGAGGTGTTGGGTAAAAAATGGAAAGCGCATTGTCTTAGGAAGCGACTTTGGCTGCATATTGTTGGGGTGGGCTTCGAGTAGTGAGCTATTATTATATACAGTATGGACAGAATACCGAGGAAGAAGAAGTGCCGTCGAGGATGCTGCTTCAAGTGCTACGACAGCGGATGTTACGGCATTGTCTTCATTGTCGCCGAATTATAATCAATATTTTCACAATATCGCGGTCTATTGTTTAAGACACGAGCGCAATGCGTAGAAATTGTTCTTTTTTTTTTTATTTTTTAATGTAACTTAGTCACTTTTTATTGTAACTTAGTCATTTTTTGAAAATATATCCTGTTTCGAAAGTTTTACGATTGATAATAAAAAATCAACCACAAAATTTGTATGGCTGTAATAAAAATAAAAATACAAGTTGAAAAACACCTGGAGATTTTTTTAAAATTTTTGATTCTATTTTTTGTTGAAAAAATAAAATCCGTATAATGTGACCTAGTAAAAAGTTTAATTTTTAAATATTGACCGAAAGAAACACAATAAAAATATAAAATAACAATCGTAAAACGTGTGTAGATAGAGAGATACTCTGAAAAAAAAAAAAACATCCAAAGAAGAAAAATCAGCTATAAATCTTGGTGATTTCTAATGTCGTAAACACAGTTTTTAAAATAACTATTTTCAACAAAACTACTTTTTATGTATATGTATTTCTATGATGTTAATTCTAAATAGAGAAAGGATTTTTTAACCTTAATTGGTCCCTTACAAAAGGTTTTATTTTTTATAGTGTAATAAAATATTTTATTTCTTGATTTTAATAAATATTTTCACGGAAAGAAGATAATAATCTTTATTCTGAGCTTGAGGAATATTTAACGTACAATATATAAAATTAGTTCCACTTTTAAGAGAGTAAATATAAATTTTAATATGAAAAAAAGCGCGTGTTTTTATTTTACGCCCTTGCAACTCTTTCTCGAAGAATAATAGAGTGATAAAATTGACCTCAAGGGTAAAATACGGAGAGAAAAGACGTAACTCGAAAAAATAACCGTAAAATATATATCTGTTATTATTTACAAAAGTCAAAAGTGTACATTGTGTCCTCGCGTGCCAGCGGGTGTCGCCAACACGACTTGACAAATAGTGGTGCAGAGAAACTGTAGATCTAGTAAGTGGTTGTACAAGTTAAGTCAAAGGTATTGGATATTACCAAGAGGATACAGGATCGAGAATGGCCTCGACAAATTATTGCGAGAAGGTTAACGTTT